TCCRTGCCTTCTAAGACTCATATTTGTCCCCACAAGCAGGGAGGTCCTCCTGGAGCCCACTATGCACACTCCTTAGTATCAAGGAGCATGCTCAAGAGGATCCAGCTCCAAAGGAACCAGAGACCAAAGCTCCTTTATTCTTTTGCTCAGAGGCTGGAGTAGCRTTGGGTTGTTCGTTGTGCTCTGGCCAGAAGCAGAGACAGGCTCTGGTAATCTTGATGGTGTCACTAAACTTCTGTGCTTTGTTCTTGAAAGAAATACTTTGCCCCTTACTTCAAGGATGAAGAGTGTGGTTTGCCCTCTTTCCCTTTGGTTGGCTTTCCCTCTTCCCTCCCTCAGAGACCGAGAATGCAGTCACATCTTGGAGYGAGAGTGGTTGGATATTCACCTGGCTCTCTGAGGTGAATGGGATTCGATCTCCCGTTCCACCAGGAGCACYGTGCCTGAGCCATCTTGTGGAAAACTGTGCTTCTGTCTTCCGGGGATTCTTTATTTTCTCCTCCTCGTATTACTTCCCAAGTTCATCCTATCTTTCTCTCTCCTGAGGGGTCCTTGTTTGTGGCTGGGTGTCGCACAGCTTATTGACCTGTTATATTCAGCTATAACTGCTGTGGCTTTCATTGGAGAAAAGCAGCCCACGTTCTCATTGGAGCTAGCTTCCGCGTGAGCTGTTGTGCAGGTCACAATGCCTCTCTGGAGGATTTACTCCAACTCTAAAAGAAAATTAGAAATCAGCATAATTTAAAATTTGATCCCATTAGTAAAGATCAATAGATAAATACAGAAYTTATTCCAAGATGGGTATAGCACAGTTATCAAGAATGGCCATCAGAAAATACACCAGTATTGGCTGCCACCATATCTAGAAGGAGCTTCAGGAAGGATGGGGAGACTATGGTRTGGGAGGCCACCATCATGTACATGGATGGGGGTGCTTTCTCCTAGAAACCTCTTACCTGCTGCCTTCTCTTCCTACACCTTCCCCACAAAGCCTGCCATTCTAAGGCTCCCCCKTGGCTCTCTCCTAATCTCACTCACTGATCCTTATCTGAGTAATCTCACCTACTTCTGTGACAGCCACCATGAACTACTGGCAAGGCAAGTTGTTCTCCAGGCTCACCTCTCTTTCAAAATCTTGGCCAGTTGAATTCTCTCCTTGGATGACCCAAGCATTGACACTCATGTGATCAAAATGGAGTTCACCATTTCTCCCCAAATCTGCTGATCCTGTGTTTTCTCTTACCAAATTGAYAGCCACCACGTTTCCAGCACATTCATCACCCACATGACAAAGTCTATTCTACTCTCCTGGTTTCAGCATTTCATATCTCAGTCATCTGACACCTCTGCCTATGTGCTCCACCTGTCTCCGGCCATTCTCCTCCATTCACCACCATTTGCTCTACTGTGAATGCTCTCTTGGCTCTGTGCTTTGTTTCTACTGTTCCTGCTTTCTGAGATGTCTTCCTCAATATGATCTGCCCAGTGGACTCCAAGTTGGGCTACTCCAAGCAGCAAATTGCAAGATGTTGTTCCTCAGTCCCTCAGGCAAACTCAAATGCTCATTTATTCTGTACTTCTCTAGAACTTTGAGTATACTCAGCACAAGTGCAGCTATTATAATCTTTTGTATGTGAGTCAGCCATACTCTCTGGATTAAATAATGTTCCTTGATCACAAGGACAGGTCCTCACAGAGCCTGCCTCCCATCAGAGGGATTTGGTAAATGTTGAAGGAGCAAATATCAGGATTCCCACACTTGGCAAGAAATTCAATTTAGCATATAGTCAAGGCTTCTTTCTTTCTTTCTTTCTTTCTTTCTTTCTTTCTTTCTTTCTTTCTTTCTTTCTTTCTCATATCGTATAAGAAAGTGACTTTCTAGTTTGGGACTTCCATTGGTATGTCCAGCAGGAGCAGTCCAGATCAAGTTCAACATCTGGGCATCAGCCACAGGTGGGAGCCCTGAAGATATTTGTATGTGTACCTTCATTGATGTATCAGCTTCTCTAGGAAACAGTTCTGATTCTCCTCTTTTTGCCTTTGTCTTCCAACCATAGCCACAGTTTCACAGATTGAAAAAGGAAAATTTAAGCTTAACATCAGGTGGTTCTTAGATTGCATCCAACAGGGTGGCATCTGGGATCCTGGAAAAAGACCTATGCTTTTAGTTAAGAGTTCATCCCTGGCTAACACCTTACAGAATCTAGCATCCCAATCATTGGAATTCCTGACTTGGGTAAATGAAACGGTCAAGGCTCTCAGTTCTCTGGTTTGTTTCCTTCTTTATATAATTTTGTTTTAATTACTGACAAGGGAAGATGACTTACCACCACCCCAGGGAGAAGGGTTGGTAGGCTATGTTCTTAAGAACTGGGATCTCCTCTTTGTTTCTTAGTTCAAGCTGTAGGAAGGAAAGCTCTTTAGAGCTCTCCTGGGCTAGGCTCTAAGATGCTCTACAAACAGCAGCAGTGTGTGCCTGCCTCAAAGAACAGAAAGCCAGAGGAGCTTACATTTCCCAGGAATGCATTCAGAATAGCTCTTCAGGAAGGCCTAACTCAGCCTTGTTGTGAAATTGTATGGAGTCTTTTCCAGGAAAACTACTCCCAATGACCTCCATTTTGACTAAATGAGTAAGGTAGGCCCTTCCATGCCTCTATCAGAAATTCTAGTTGTCAAAAGAGTTTTATATTAAACAAACTAGCACTGATTGAACTGAAACTTTCCAACCTGAGACTTGTCCCTTGTGCTTCCTGACTCTTAGACACGCTGTTGTCAACTTGGCTTATAAAGCACCCAGTCTGCAACACGATTCAGTGACTGAGGATTCTGTTTGACTTATCAGTAGATTTGGCCCGACTCAGCTATAAGGACCCTTGGTGAAATTTGGTCCAAGAGATTGCTTCATACTCCTTTGCGATGAATTGGGCCCAGTTGTGGCACTGGGTTAACCATACTTCTCTGAATAATGGTCCCCTACATTTTCTGAGCAGTGACTTAAGACTTCTCAAAGATGTGAGTAGTTATCATGAAACCTGATGACAAAGCGGTAAAATGTAGGTGGCTTGAAAGCTGGCACTGTAGCTATGGCTGCTCACACGCAGAAGCATTAGCTCATTTCAACAGAAACAAAAGTATGTTGGAGAAGAAAGTCTGTTATAATAGCTCTGGGGTATCACACAAAGGAAGGTACCAGACTCCTGAGCCTCGTATGTCCTGGACTCTTGACCCAATATGGTAGTTTGAGTGGAGGAGGATGTAAAGGGTTAGTCGGATGTGCCTGGGAAGCCTTGTCTGTTTATRGTTAATGATGTTGCTAGAGACACTCTTTTGTCACAGTAGTTTGAAGGGCTTCCAGGCACAGAATGAAGCAATTTCTAGCCTGAAATAACTGAGTCTGTTCCTAAAAAGCCATCGAATGCTCCATTCTAATTATTCAGAAATTCCCTTTCATAGGCCTTTGCATGACAGCAAGTCGAGACTCAGCCTCAGGAGTCATCCCAATCTTCTACGTCTTTGAGTGTCAGGAGATCATTCCCATTCACTGTCCCTAACTTGGTTTCGTCTGCCTAAGAGGCAGAGCCTGATTTCAGAATTGGCAAGGCATCTTTCATCAACCTGGATATCGACTCAAAACATTGAAAAATTGGAAGGTTGCCACTTGTTTTGAAATGTGTGTGGTTTATCAATGCTTYAGAATAAGGCACTTAGTAATCAACAGTACAGAATCTTGTGATGAACATGGTTAAAATTATTGGTAATACTTCATGGAAAACATGAATAACACCCAATAACCCAGCACTTCAAAGTACCTTGCAGTCTGTGATTATTCAGTTCTACCACTGATGGGCTATTTTTTTTCTTTGTTTTAGGAGAAGATACAATGTAGGGAAGAGCTGAGACTTGGGAGACCTAAGTTCTAGTCCCCATTTTACCACATACTTGTTCTGTGATCTAGGCCTCCTGACTTAATGTTGTCAATCTGTAAAATGAGGTGTGGTGGAAAGGAAGATGATTCTGGAAACTTTTCAAAGATCCTATCCACTCAAAAACTCTTTGACTTAAAAGACAATGGGCCAATGCTTTGTTTGGGTTGTACTTAGCAAGGTCATAATTCTGAGGATTTCCAGTAATAGCTACTATCTAATTTTAATTCTAGAATCCCAAACTTGGGGCTTATTTCAGGTGTGTGGGGGGCATTTCTATTAATCTATTTCTATTATCTAGCCAATCTTTGGACCTTGTGAGTGGTGATATTTTTGGTTGACATACAAGGAAGAAGTTGAAGATGTATCCAGCTATGTTCCATAGCTTAGAGGAATGATCAGCAGACACACCCCCACCAAAGAGATAGTGCCAGGTCCAGGATGCCCTTTATCCCACTGAGGCCTGGGGAGGAGAAAGAAAGATCAGGCTAGGTACTCCATTGACTTCCCTTGTAGCCGGGATGGGGACCATTGTTACCTGGTTTTCCTGTCTCTGCAGAAGGGGCTGAAACAACATATGGCAATCTGCATTAAACCTACAAAGAAATTATCCTAAGGATGTAGACTCACTGAATCTCGTTTTAACATTTTAAATTGGTTCTTTCCAAATCAACAGTGAACTGGTCATGCTCAGGCCATGGTTTCTTAGATTTTTTTTTTCAAGAACCCCTTATGGAAGCTATGGATGACCCTCTGCCCAGCAAACTACCCACACAGTCACAAATTGGGGTATGATTTCAGGGAATTCCTGTATGCCTTGGAGCCCAAGGACCCCAAGTTAACAATCCCTTGTCTGAAGTAGAACCAAGGAACCCACCGGCAGGAATGTCATCGCTAGCTCAAGATTTCTGAGTCCATTAATTCGCTGCCAAAATGAAGTAGTAACATCGAGATTTTCTTTTTCTTTTGTTCTTCTGACCACATCACCCTCTTCCTCTCTCTGTTCCCACATCTTTTGTCCCCTCCTCATGTCCCCTCTCATTTCTTTCCCCATCTCTGGCACATCTTGCACCACAGATGTTCCAGCCTGGTTAAAAAGCCTCCGCCTGCACAAATACGCCGCGCTTTTCTCCCAGATGACCTATGAGGAAATGATGGCCCTCACCGAGTGCCAGCTGGAGGCTCAGGTATGTGCTAGAAGGATCACCCCCCTGCGAGGGTGAAGCTCAAGCCCCAGACAGGCCCAGTCCTAGATCCACCCAGTAGCTTGCCTTGTTCTAGGGATGCAGGGAGCCGGCTGCATCCCCCGGTGAGTAAGGCTGAGCTCTTGCCTCAGAGTCCAATAGGAGGCAGAAGACAAGCCTGCAACCAAGGGGTCCTGAGGGTGTGAGGGCCAGAGAGAGTTAGGAAAAGATAGAATCTAAGTACACACTGGAAGTTCAAGGTGCGAGGGAGGAATCAATGGAGCCTCTGGAAAGTGACACTGGGCGAGGGTCCCAAGGAGTCATTGTCTCTGCTTTGGCCTTCCTGGCTCTCTCCCTCTCTCTGCCCACCCAGGGCTTGTTTGAATAGGAACCAGGTCCACTGTCTGCTGTCCAGTCCAGTCACATATCAGTTAACTACTGACTGGACCAGTGAATAAAGGCACCAGGCCATGCTTCAGATCTGCCCCAACACTTTTGCAGAATCATATTTAAGCTAGTTTTCATTGAGATTGGAGTAAATTGTTCAAAATAATTTTTTTTTCTTCTAAACTGCCTTGAATAGCATGGGAAAATGATTTAGAATTAGATTTCCCCAGGTTTCAGATTTCACTTTCCTTGTGAATGCCATAAAAGGACAAAGTTCCTCCTTCCTTCTAAAGCATCCTTCCCCAAGTACAGGATGCCAAAGACCAGTCAACAGAACCCCTGAAACTAAGCATGTCTCCTACCATGCTGTGTTCTGGTCAATAGGTCTGACCGATGTCTTTGTTTGCCTTGTTTAAGATGCTATTTGCATGTTTCAAATTGACCTCGGTTTTCTTTGAGCAAAGATTTTTAAAGAACTGATTTCCCCTGCAGGAAGAGGAGATTTRTACCATTTGGAGCATGGCTGGTCTGGATCATACCTCCTGGCAGATCTCTGGTTTCCCATTGCTTATTCTGTCCCCTCAGTTAACCTCTGCAGGCCTGGCTGAATACCAGTATTGAGAGCAAGACAAAGCCCAGAGTCACTGCACATTCTCCCAGAATGAAAGGCACTAATTTCGACTTCCTAACATTTATCCTACTGCTTTTTGGATCTCGTTCACTCCTTGAGATCCCAGGAATTGATGAGAACCCTTTCAAAGAGCATTTTTGTGTTTGGGTCAGAGTTGAGAAAATAATCGAAGTCATCAGTTGTTCAACTTGAGAAAAAACAAAAAGAAATAATTAACACAGAAGGCAAAGGCAAAGCCTGACACAAACTTTTCAGGGGAACTTAATTCACTTTGGCCTAAAGTTAAGGCTTAACAGAAATATACTCTCCCCATGTCTCATCTTAGACATCTTAGAAAGTGGGTTCATGTGTCACTTAAGTCTTAATATTTCTAAGTAAAGTAGATGTTACTAGGGTTCCCATCTTTTCCTTCATTAAAAGAAATTCAACGGAAGAGTTGTACCAGGGTAGAGGTCCTGTATCTGCAAGCCAATGGAAAAAGGGACCTTCTACTGGGGAATTTGCAGGATCTATAATCAACAAGTGTCTGGAAGAATCCTTAGGTTCTCCACTGCTACAGATTTAAGAAGATAAAATCTACAATTCTGGGAATCCTAACATTTGCCTGAAATGATGAGTGAATTATGGATTTAGGTTAATTTTCTATTCTTATTTTCTTTATGGAAAAAAAAGAAGGCCTGCAAACTAATTTTTTAAAAAGTTCCTGTTTTATAATACTCCACGTGGACTGTATGGGGCTTTCCTATAAACGCAGGAAAGGTTTGAGAAAACAATGAATAGTTGATGAGGTTGGGACCCCAGGGAAAACAAGAGGGACTGTAGAAAGAGGGTGTTTGACCTAAAATTATCTTCTAAGACTATTGAAGAAATGTCCTGCTGGGTGGAATAATTGGCTATTCTGTATCTCTCCGTCCTAAAGGTCACATGCAAAAGACACAGGCAAATGTGTAGACAGGTGGAGTTAGAATATTTAGTAAGAAGATGTTTCTGACAGAGGTGCCAATGAGAGAGACATACATATCAACTACATGTGAACCCGTAGGAACCAAGAAGACAGCAGATTACTAAGTAGCCTCTGAGGGTCTCTAAGTCAATCCTTAAAAATATGTTTTAATTAAATATTGATTATATTTAATTCCAGAATGTTACCAAAGGTGCAAGACACAAAATTGTCATCAGTATTCAGAAGCTCAAAGAAAGACAAAACCTCCTGAAGTCTTTGGAAAGGGTAAGTGTTCAAGGAGTGAGGGAACCTTTCTACTTTCATCATGGGAAAATGGACCAAGCAAAATTCTCAGTTGAGAAGGTTATTAGCAGAGGTTAAAGAAAATATCATGCAGTCTCCTTAGCAAAGTCAGAAAAAGTGAAATGACTTTGACCTGAGGTTTCCTGGTTACATTGCTTCCTTGTATCCTGGGTCCAAGCTGTCCGTGACTGGCCATCCCAGGCCTCTGGTGAGATGCTGTCAAATTGCGTGTGCATCTGCCTCTGCTTTGTAAGCACTTGTAGAGATCTGCACACCAAGGGGTACTCCAGGTTCCACCGAGGGGATCCAATGCATTGGGCAGGCAGACACAGTTGGCTCTCGAGAGAATGGTTTCAGATTTTAATTTAACAAGAAAAGGAGTCCCCCAGACTCTGATAAGAACCATACTAAAAATGTAGAATGCTGGAAAAAGTTATTCTGACATTAAAAGCAGTTCTCAGGTGCCCACTATCTTTTTGTTTGCTACTAACACAGGTTCATTTCTTAATCTTGTATCTGGAAGTCATCCTGGTAAAATTGTCATTTTTGAGGACGAGGTATCTGTAATTTTATCTAATGGAGAGCCAGACACTGTTCTGAACACAAGCAAACCAGTGTTGCTTCTGTCCCTGGAGCTGCGGTTCTTGTGCACTAGTGTTGGGAGTGGTGGGTGGAAAGTTCTGTAGGTATTTGAAAGTTATAGTGTGTGTATGGTAACTTCTCAGTTATCCCATGGAGACTTTGAGAGGGGATAAAATATTGAGCTAGGCAGTCTCAAGCAAGTCTGATGAACACAAACATTTTAATAAAGTAGGAAATTTAAAAAACTTATTCACAGAGATGTGAATGTGTGGAATTTTACATTTACAATATAAAGTTACATTTAGTGGCACATCATAAATTGTGTGTATATATATATATATATATATATTTAGAGAATATGCATATTATCAGGGCACAGTGGTACATCCCTGTAATCCCGGCTACTCAGGAGGCTGAAGCAGGAGGATCACAAGTTCAAGGCCAGTCTCAGTAATTTAGTAAGATTCTGTGTCAAAAATAAAAATCTCAGTGGTAGCACACTCACTGAGCTAATCCAAGCACCAAAAAAAAAAAAAAAAATTAAAATAAAAAATAAAAAAGAATGCGCATACAAAAACATAACAAGGAAAGTTTCTTTTAAAACCTCTGGATGGACAGACAGGTAGGAGCTATTCAGATGCACATCCACACATCCATGATTAAAGATATGCTCTTAAAATGCATTACAGATTACAAGTGAGGTCCCCAAGTGAACCTGAAGCTTTGTTGTTCGTATTTTACGTAAACTCCTTTGCCAAGAAGCTTGTCTGAGTAATCTTTGCCATTTTTAATCTAAGAAATTATTCTCTTTGAGGGAACATTTAACAGGCCAATTTACTGTTAGAAAAGTACAGCAGTTATTTTGCATAAAGATTAGATTGCTAAGCCTGAGGATGGAAGCATGATCTTTCCTTTCTTCTTTCTGGAGCATCCTTCAGGAATTCATTCATACCTCCATCGCTGAGGAAATGTACCTTCCACTTCAGAGATGAGAGATTAAATTGCTATTGCTTTATTGCAGTCTTGGGCCAAAATCAGAGCACTAGGGCAGCCAGATAGCGCAGGTGGCCTGATCCATCTAGGCTTTGATAAGTCAGTGATGTACTATGTCCCAGAGTCACACCTAGAATAGAGCTGACTCCACATTCTAGTCAGTACTCGACTACTACTGACTGCCAGGTCCCTGACATGGGGATGTTAAAAAGATGCCACGTGTATAATGACTTTTCAAGGCTAAGAGGAAAGCAGTACTGAGTTTGACTTCTTCGAGAGGGTGAAATTGAGCTTCAATGACCAGGTTGGCTCACTTCAGAATGCCTGAATGTTTAGATGCTCTGCCTACTGTCCCTTCTGGAGCTGGTGGCCTGTAGGTGGAGAGGAACCTCTCAGTATATGCAAAGGACTGAGCCCCTGGGGCCCGGAGGGCTGCCTCTCCTGCTGCTTCTGCCCTTTGAGGATGGGGGTTGTTGATCACCTGTTACCACTGATGGCAAGTGACATTCAAATCAAGCATCCCCAGACACCCCTCCAGCTGACTGTGCTGTTGGAAATGTTGTCACCATGCCCTTGCCCCCTCCGGCATTCTTACCTCACATAGAACCCAGATTTCTAAGGAGATGGCTGGGACCCCGCCCGAAGCTAGTTCATAATCAGTAGTTGCCMCAGACGGTCTCTGTGTCCAGAGCTCTTCCATTCAGTTCCTGAACACTTACCAAGCAACTACTTGCACTTGATTTGCCCCGTCCACTGGAGGCTGGCCGTGAGGGGTATGTGGTTCCTGCTCCAGGGTATTCTGGGGTATGCACTGGGATGACCTCACAGCACAGTGTGATCAGCGTCATCCCCCGGGCAGAAAAGGGAATCTGCCTGGAATGAAGCAGGCCACGCCGCACAGGTTTGGAGGGAAGCCTTTCCAGGAGCTCGATGCTGCTGGGAGACTCAGGAGGAGACTCTGGCAGGGGCTTGATGGGACCTCGAACCACAGCAGAGGCAGTGAGGATGGAGACGGACGGGAGGCGTCCTGTAGCGGGCGTTCAGGGATCATCAGGAGGTCTTGGCTTAGATGTTGTGGCATTTGGGGACAGAAATCTAGGAGGAATGGGAAGAGGGTGTTCAGTTGAACTAAAATGGGAAGAGGGAGTTCAATTGAATGGGCCAAGTCTTGAGATGCCTGTGGGACACTCAGAGATGGTAGGTTGGTGACCAGAAGAACAGGTCTAGAGTCCAGGAAACAGCAAGATCTGGATGACCCAGTTGTGGTCATCTGTACATAATTGGTAGTTGGCACTCCTCAGATGTGTGTGTCAAGTGAGAAGAGCCCTGAGGTATACCATACCAACAAAAAGACCCAGTGATCATAGGTAATGATGAGCCCTGAGCCATGCCTACAGGGACAGGAGAATGTTGGAATCAGGAATTCCATCAGGTGGCACAGATGTGACACAGTGAGGACTAAACATTGTCCCCTGGAACTGGCCATCAGCTGGTCACTACAGCCATGTTGAGAAAAGTTGCAGGAAAGAGGGGCAGACAGAAGCAGAAACCCACAAACCAGGACTGTGGATGTGTAGCAAGACACCAAGTATGGAGCTGTAGGCTTCTCAAACCATTTGATAGAAAAGGAACAAGCAACATCATGGTGGTTACCGTTGATTTTTTCAATATTTAATTAATAAGAAAAAAGGTCTCCACATGCTTTGAGATATCTATTCTTTCCTATTGACTTCCAGATTGTGAAATGGAACCATTTCTGAACCTGGAATTGTGGTGTGGAGAAAGGATCCCACATCTGTGTGTGTTCGTTCTCTCTCTCTCTCTCTCTCTCTCTCTCTTACACACACACACACACACACACACACAAATCACCTAGTTCTATTTGTTTCCCCTTTGAGAGAGAAATATGCTTCTCTGGAAGTCTATACCTTTTCTTTGGACTCTTCCAGATCTTGTTCTTGAGGTTGGATCTCATCAACTGCTTCAGAGAAAGAGCAGTTAAATTTAATAGCATTAAGTATTAGATATTTCCAGAATAATAATGTTCTATATAGTACAGTGCATGTGATAACTTTAAAAAATGGTCCACACATATCAGTGCATCTGACCCTGACAGCAAACCTCCGAAGCTAACAAGATAGATGCTTGTTTTAAGAGGAGGAAACTCAAATGAGTCCAAACTTCTTAGCAAGCCACCCTGGAAGAGCTCTCCAGCTTCATTGCTGGGCACCTTTCACCTGTCCTTTCTGCCCCTCATGCTCTTCACTCTTCTTTTTTTCTTGAAGCATCAATGCACACAGAGACACACAGTAGCAGCCAGGGGTCCCTCTTCTCTGTCCCATAGTTCCTTCCCTGCCCTGACACCAACATACTCTATGGGTCCCAGGAACCATCAGCATCTCAGGGTGATGACGTCTTTGCTTTTATATAGATACAATGCAGAACAGCTCCTGGCTGATGTAGGGCTCAGCAGATGATTCATGAAGGAAAAGAGAGAGAATGGATCTAAGTAGACTCAGGAGACCTGTTATATGAGAATCCAAATCCTTCTCACATGAAAGGAAGGATGGGGCCAGGGACACATCACATCAGTGCTGGGGACGCTTTGGCTGCCAAAAGCTCTCTTTTCCAGATGTTTTGTGCCTTGTTATTGTCACATGCTCAGGAAAGGCACTGAACCAGCCTTTCTATAAGACCTAGGAAAGTCAGGCCAGAGCTGGGCTTGTTGGACAGGAATTTCCTTCCTGCCCATCCACTGAGCAATCACTGGGCTGCTGCCTCCATGGACCAGATTCCCCATTATCTGCTTACAAATGAGCTCCTCGGCTCGGCACTTTTGAATGGGCATATTAGTTATTGGACAGCTTCATTTGCCTCTCTTTAATTTAGGATTATGTTTTGGGCATAAAGGATGGAGAGAGGCTTGTCAACATGGAAAATTAATTCCCACAGCTAGTCGAGCATGCTAGGTTGGGTCCCATTCAGGCTGTTTTCCGCCTGCTTCTCAACGTGGGCACTCGGAGCCGAGTTCAGGGATTCATGCTTAAGAGGTAGGAATGCAACGTGATGGTCACAATGCCCCCACCCTCTGGTGCTGACATTAGCAGGGGTTCGGCTAACTGGTTGTTAGCTAAGTGTTATCTTTAAGACAATGGTTTGAAGTCCATGGGGCAAAACAAAACTCCACATGATCCCTGGGAAGTTATATTTTACAGAGAGTGTCTGACATTATTCATCATGTTTGTGATTTTATTTTTTGGCACGGTTACCCCAGTAGAAAACAAAAATGAGATTTGTACTTGGGGTATGGATGTTTTCTGTTTGAAGTTCAGCTCTGAGCATCACCCAAATCCTTTCTCCTCTCAACCAAGCCTTTTTGCCAGGTGACAAGGGCAGGTGAGGGCCTGGTGGCAGTCAACAGTGTCTCCAGCATTGCATGTGCTCACCTGAGTGGCAGACACAGGGATGGTACAGCGGGGACACATGCAATACCATGCCCCTCACTCAGCTTACCCATTCTCCCCTTGTGGGGCCACATCCCCTTTCTCTCTTTTCTTTCTTCTGCTTAGTACCAGGCTGGGCAGGAGCTTGGTACCCTCACAACACAGTGTTGGACAGGTACAGGAACCCAAGGGAGGGCCAGAGTCCCGCAGGCGGCACACAGTTGGGTCAGGAGGGGCAGCAGGCACTCCCTGAGCATGAGTTAGCTGGCTTGCCTCCTGTGCCCTGCCCTGCTCAGATCACCAGGCCCAAAGTCAAGGAAGTCGTGCACATCCTGGCATCCAGATGCTTCCAGATGTTGGGAAGGGCTGGTCCTGGGGCAGCTGAGAATTAGAATGATGAGCACACACCCACCAGTCTGTGTGCCCAGGGAAGGCAGTAGACTCTGCAGACCTTCTTTAACAAACTGGACGGTAGCTCCAGCCAGGTTTGGGACACTTCTGGTGACTAATTAGAAATTCACTTCCTTCACGAAACCTTCATCCCAGTGAGGCTAAGGCACAACTCAGGCTCCACTCCCAGTCCTTCCAAACAACAAAGCAGGCCACCTCGGACGACAGGGTGTGGCTGCCCAGAATTGAAGCACATGCATCCAAGGCTGCCGCCCTTGGCCTTCCTTTCTCTGCTCAGCTGATTGGAAAGGTTTGGGTGCAGGCATGATTGTGTTCTAGATGTTTGCATCCCATGACATCTTCAAGTGATTTTTTTTTTTTTCTCAGAGAGGATCCCAGGGATGGTTTGGGTACTCAGGGCATCAAGCTTTTAAAATTATGTCCTTGCTATTCTGGGCTCTCAGAAGATAAAGGACTTCATTTGTAATCCAGGCCTTGGTTGGCAGTCCTTCTTGGGTCCCAGGGAGAGCTGTGACTGCATGAGCACTGGAGGCAGCATTGTGGCCGAGGGTCCTGCCCACCTACCCTGCCAGGGAATAGCCCAGGCCTCCAACCACAATCCTCACCACCAGGGCCAGTCCAGAGTTTGTCTGTCACTCGTCCAAGAATCAATGTTCCTTTTTCTAATAAGTAACAACCAGCACATCCAAGTAGGTGCAGAATGGTCCGAGTTTATTTTACAACATAGAAAGACATGAATATGTGACTTATACACATTCTAGCATATAGACCTTAAACATATGATTTCCAGAATCATCCTTCTAAAACTGTTGCTCCCCTTCTGGAAAACCTTCCCTGGTTTTCCATCTCATTTAGAATAATTTCTGACATCACTGCCCCTGCCTGCAGGCCTTCATGACCCCTGGGGGCCCTGAGACCTCATTTCCCATGCCTCTGCCCTCAGTCAACCTCCTCCACTGCAGGCCACCTGCTGATCCTCCCACATGCCCACCTCAGAGCCTTTGTCCTCTCTGTACCCTGGGATGCTTCTTCTTGGGGACATCTTCTAGTGTTACCCCCTCCAGAGAACTCCCCTCATGTCACTGCACCCCAGACCCTGGCATGATGGATCTATCTCATGGTAGGATGTAAAGTTCCCATGGGAATGCCAAAGGCTGTTCCCACCATATGCCCATGCCTGACATGCCCCTGCCTGGCATGGTGCCCGGTGTGTAGAAGCACTCAACACATCATTCACAAAGCAGCACGTAACACAGGCATTATGACCTGCAGCCATAAAAATACATCATTAATAATAATAATAATAATAATACGATTATTATCCTCATTTGGTCCCCAGGGAAACTGAGGGACAGAGAGGTGAACTCATTTGCTCAAGGTCACACAGCAGTGCCTAAATTCAGACCTGGGCATCTGCCCCCAGAGTCTGCTTTTAGTCACCGATCTGTGCTGCTAGTGACACAGGCTGCGTGAAGGTGTGCATGAAACAGAGTCCTTTATCTGGAATAAGGCTTGCATAGGACACAAAGTCAACTATGACCCAACTTTGTGATACAAATTCTAAAAGGTATGAGTGTAAAATAAGAAACCCATTTTGCAGAAAAGTGTCGAAGGCAAGGAGAAGCAGTGGTCACTTGTAGACAGTGGGATTTTCAGGTGGTACATATTTTTCTCACTACACAAATTTGTATTTTCCAAATTTTCTACCTGGGCTAATGTAAGAATGATGAAATAAAAGTAGAAACTTGTCTAAGTCTCACACTGAGGAAGGGGGTCAGCAGCTGTGAGTTCTGAGAACAGCTCAGAGCCGGGGAGGTATGCAGGTGGCACTCACCCAGAATCTAACACAAGTCTTCTCTCTGCCTGTCCAGGACATCATCGAGGGGGGCAGCCTGCGCATCCCCCTTCAGGAACTGCACCAGATGATCCTGACTCCCATCAAGGCCTATAGCTCCCCGAGCGCCACCCCGGAGGCGCGCCGCCGGGAGCCTCCAGCCCAACACCAGCCCTCCCTGATGGGCCCTGAGAGCCAGAGCCCTGACTGCAAAGACAACACAGTGGCCACCAGCGCCTCTGCCAGCGCCTCGGCTGGGGCCAGCGGCGGGCTGCAGCCACACCAGCTGAGCAGCTGTGATGGGGAGCTGGCTGTCGCCCCCCTGCCAGAGGGGGACCTGCCTGGGCAGTTCACACGCGTCATGGGGAAAGGTATTCTCTTTCATACCACTAAGCAGAGCTCCCGAGGGGCTCCCGGGTGCTGGGTAAACTGCCTGTCCACGTCGATGGCGGGGCCTGTGTTTTCCAGATAGGAAAGTGTGGCTCAGGGTCATGCCATGCGGAGTGGAACTCCAGGTTCTGAGCCCTGCAGGTAGGGGACACTGTGTCGGCCCTCTCATTAGAGCCCACTGGACCAGGGGCCTTGGGAGAAGAAGGTGGATTGGATCCTGAAAAAGTAAACTTCAGGAACAAACCACTTGGCAGCTGGTCCTCACTCCAAACAGGAGAGGAGAGAAAAGCAGCAGAACAGAGCTGCTGAGCGCAGAGCCCAGAGCACAGAGGCCCCCTCCCTCGCCTCTGGAAGCATTGCAGAGGGGTGGTGATCTGGGGAACTCTCAGCACAGAACCATTTTGTTCACCTTCTCCAGGGGCTGTGTTTACATCCTCCCTTCAGGTCTGATCCACGGTACAGAATGCTCTCCTCTCGTGCTAAGAGCTTGTGGTTATTTAGTATTTACTATGGTTGTCAGTACTTCCCTGGGCAGCTTGCTTAATCCTCCCAACATCCTATTTTACAGAGGAGGAAATTGAGGCACAAGGCCAAGAAGCCCACCTGGGCTTGCTCATCTGAGGCAGGGCTGGGATTTGAACTCTGCAGCTTCTCCACCTACCCACCTAGGTACCGCCATGCCTTCCAATTAGCTAAAGATGGAGCAGGCTTGACTTCCATGTGAAGGCACCCCCATGGACTCTCCTGGCACCAGCCTCTCCTGGCTGCCTCCACTGCCCTCACCACCCCATCCTTTCCAAATAGAAATGTCTTCTGAGTTTTCAGAAGCTTATGTATTCTCTTATTTCTGAGCCTTTGTGCCTCCTTTCCCTCTGTCTGGGACCTGGGCCACTAATAGTCCATATAAGCCTGAAAGATAAATGCAAAATAGCATCTTATCCCAGTGGATGCCACATTGCAGGCCCTCATCTCAGAGTTCATTTGGGCAGTGTACAACCTGCATATCTGTACTGCCTAGAACATTCCTTCCCTCAGCCCATTCTCTTCACCTGTGTTATGCCTCATCCTGCAAGTCTCGGTTGAGTCCTCATCTGGGCCAAGAAGGCTGCCTGATCCCCTGGACTGGGTCAGGTAGCCCTCTCATAAGCCCCAAAGCCCCTTTAGACTCTCTGTTTTAGGCCAGTTCACACTGGATTGCAGTTGTCTGTCTGCTTGACTTGTGTCCCCATTAATATGCAGCACTGTCAGACCATTTCTCACAGCTACTAAATACCCTGCAGGTGACACAGTGCTTGGCTATTGGTGGGTGCCTGAGAAGTGAGGGATGACATTAGTCTCTGCAGCTTGCTTTACCGTGGACTGTCCAAGTGCACCATGGCCATGCTGCGTGCATGTCTGTGGGGCAGGATGGAATTCATGGCATCACCTTTGGGTAAGAGCACCCATGCTGCCCAGACTACCCTCTGCCTTTCTCAGGGCTCAGACCTTTATGTCCATGTCCTGAAAAGTGTCCAATATTAGAATAATTTGTGTGTGATGGGATGCTTCACAGGAAATCTTGATTATTTTTTAAAAATTTGGAGATAGCATTCTTTTTTCTTTGGAAAGGAGAAATCGTTTTTCCCCCCTTTATTATCCTATATCTCAGACCATTTTAAAGAACCAACTTTTCACTGTTAGACAACTGAGCCATGTAGTCGCAATAGGAAACATCCCCCCACCCATGCAAGTCCTTTAAAAAAGACAAATCCATAGCAATCTGATTCAGAAGGCGAGGACTCCTGGCTTCACTTGGGGTTCGATGGCTAGGGTAGGCCCTCATCCTCTGCACCTCTCATGGGGGGCAGCAGCCACCTGAGCATGTATGTGGTCCAGCACCCCATCCTGTGTGGAGGTCAAGGGTGGGTTCAGCCCTCAGGAGACCCACACTCCTCTGGTTCTGTTTACATTTTAACTATGGTATAAAAAGTTATGAACCAAATTCATGCTCAAATTAAAATGATGAAAATTGAAAATCAACCCCTCTCCCAAGCTCTGCAACAGTCACTGTAAAGTCAGGGATGTCCTTTCAGAAACTTTATCAACATGTATAAGMATGTGGATGTCCATGTTTACACACACAGGTCTTCTCTTCTGCAACTTGTTTTCTTATGCATTTGCTATCAATTAAAATAGCACCATTGCATTATTTTTTAAAGATCGTACACTGTTGCACTGTATGCACAAACCATAGTTTGTTTATCAGGGTCTCTCCCTATCAATGAATGAATAGGTGCTGTACTGAAAACCTATGTAAAAAGATGTGGAATAAATGGAATTCTGTGACAGATCGGTTGGAAAGAGGAAGAAACCAAATAGGATACCCAGTTTTCAATCTTGATCTGCTTGAGTGCCAGATACCCTTGCTTGTCTGACTGACTACTTCCGACCTGCCACTGTGGCTTGAAAATGCCACTTGCAAAGCCAAAGCCCTTGTGGCCTCTAGGATGAGGGCAGAGTGGCCATCATATGTGACCCTGAGAAGCCCAGTTCCTGTGTGTATTCTACCTGCAGACTAACTGCTCTGTCTTCACTAGAACTTCCTTGGGCATGCAGGTAAACCTGTGTGTGTATAAATGCAGGCACCATTTAGAGAAAATAACCCTCCAGCGACTGAGTGGCAGGTTTCCGGCTCCTGTGCACGCCCACACGCCTCGCAGCCTAAAGGAGGTGCCAGACTCTTTCCTCCACAAACACCACTGCCTCTCCACCTGGCAAAGAAGGGTGTGGTTCATTCATAAAACGATAGAGACTGCTCTCCCACAGCATCAGAGGACTTTGAGTGCTTTGAAGCCCCCTCATACAGAGCCACTTGCAAGGACCGAGCTCAGGAAACTGCTGTTCTTCCTATCACCGAGTGTGTGTCTCTCAGTGTGTGTCTCTGGCTGATGGCACAAGGCTTAATATAGAATGGTATGACTGGAATTAACCCAAGGGGCTTCTCCAGGCGAGGGCTCCAGCGGTGACCAAGCCTTTGACTCCTGTGGAATGAGGAGCCTCCTGGCCTTTTTACGTAAAGCCACAGGCACACATACCTTTCAAGATCTTGGTCGTGAAAGGAAATCAGAGGCAGATCTCTGAGGCTGGAAGCGGGTGTGCATTGTCCTAATCTATCACCATCCTCATTTTCTCCTTCTTCTTCTTCTTCTTCCTTCACAGTGTGCACACAGCTCTTGGTCTCCAGACCTGATGAGGAAAATATAAGCTCCTATTTACAGCTCATAGACAAGTGTCTAATTCATGAGGTGAGTAGTGACTGGTTTCACCAACCTCTTGTCCTCATTGCTTAGAAATTCTTCTCAGAGTTTTCTGTGATATGATTGTTTTAGTCTCCAACAAATTGTTTTGGGGAGGGGTGGATGGTCATTAGTAATAGTTCAGGCAGAACTAGGCGATAGCCACCTCAAACCCAGACACAGCTCTATATTACCATAGATTCACCCCGAATGAGAGCTTTGCTGTCAGGGAAATGCCTGAGAGGACTCCTGACTCCAGAAGAATCCCTGAGTGGCCAAGCCTGGGTAGTTGACACAGAGCCCTGCCACCTAGCCCTGGGTGTTTTCAAGTCTTTTTAATATTGCGTGTTGAAACATTTTGCCTTTTAGTGCAGGGAAACTGGGAGAGGGAGAGGGAGAGAGAAAGTACACCAAATAAATAATGGATGTGTGTTTGTATATGTGTGTGGATTGACAGCTGTTTGTTTGGACTGTGGTTTTTATAGGAACTGTATTTGCCATATGTCCTTTGGAAGGAGGACTTAGGCAGCTGAGGCTGTGCCTACCGCACKGTCAGAGTGCAGCTTTCCTGTACAGAGCTGGGCAGACTCCTGGCGCGTCTGGGCTGGTGGAAACATAGGGAGGAAGAGTTGGGCCTCAGATCCTGGCATCCAGTGGTTCCTTGGTCACACACACCCATGCACAAAGAGTTACAGAGACAAGCTCTAGGCTACAGAAGACTCAGAACCAGAGAACCTAGGGTGGTGAGGTCTTTTTTCCTTTTGGTGGTTAAACAGCCCCTGAGCCTCCTCGCCTCTGCCTGGCAGCATTCAGAACCCAGGAGAAAATGCCCAGCACAGCAGCCTGGCCTGGTCCATTCTCCAATTCCATTCATGCTTCCCACCTTCCAGGCTGCCAGACAGGCCTTGGACCATTGAAAGTCTCTCTCTTCAGTTCTCAGGGGCCTCTGCCATGTCCATGATCAGATGCTGCCTACCCTCACATGCAGGTGCACAGTCTTCCTCGGGATTCATCCCAGTCACTCTYAAACCTCCATCCTCACGGTGCCTTCTCTGGGCAGCGTGAGCTCTTCTGTGCCCCATTCACTCCAGCCAAAGTCCTTTGTCTCAATGTGAGCACCACCATCAGCTGCCTAGGTTGGGAGCTCACACACAAAAACTTCTTTTCCTTTCTTTATTTTTTTCCTCTGCAGTGGTTCCCCCAGATCAGCCAGGTACTATCTAATGATTGCCAAAGCCTAAAGGGCTTATTTGTATATTTCAGGAAGAGACAYGGCCCCTCCCACAGCCCCAACTATTTCCAATTTTACTATTTCCAATCCTGTCACTGCCCTTGTTTTTAGTGAAAAAAAAAAAGACAGAAAGAAGAAAAGGCAAGATCACATTGAAGGATGTTATAACTCATTCTTTCTGTAGAAATTTATTGAGTGCCTAGGCCCTGCCCCTCGCTGGGTGGCTTAGGGTGTGAGGTGAGACAAACAGAAAACAGGTCATCACACACATGTCAATAAAGCCCTTGATAAGATCCTCCCCTCACATCCTGGAGCTCAGAGAGGATGGTAGGCACCTAACCCAGAGCTGAAACCAGGGCTTTTCCTCAGAGGAGCATCTCCAAGCTGAAGCCCCCAGGCCAGCTCCAGAGCTGCTGAGGTGAAGACTCAGTAAGACAGTGACAAGGGCCCAGGCAGAGGTGGTGTCTAGAGAGCTCTGTGTTGTCTTGGGGAGGAGGACCTTCATGGGTGGGTTTGGGAGGATTTAAACTTCTGAAAAAGCAAACCGGAACYCTGCTTCCTCTCCCACGCCCACCCTCAGCGCTGAGACTTCAAGATAGGCCAGGAGGGAGGTGCCTTCCACCTCATCTCCAGTTGATGAGCCCATGAGACTAAAATAGTGAATCCTCCAGCTGCCTCTTTGAACAACCTGTGAGCCTCCTAATTGGTCTACAGCAGCCCCAAAATGTCGGCCTGAGGCCTCTCACTTTCCTTGCCATCCTTCACGTCCTCCCTGGGCACCCTTGACTCTCATTTTTCTTTCCCCCTTTCCTCCCTGGCAGCCCCAAGTGACCCAATGCAAAGACGGCACTGTGTGGTCTCATCTGCTGACTGCTTAAAGGGACCTTTCTCCTGTGGGAAGGAAGGAGCTTGTGTCCACTACCCTGAATTCATGTCAGGATGGAGGGGCCTGTGCTGTACTTTTCGAGGGAAAATGTTGTTCAAGGCTCTTTGTTATTATTTTAGTTTGAGAGAGTGCAAAAGCTCTGAAGGGTTTTCCACAGCTGGGGGTCATTCTGCGAGGTCAGAACACACCCTCCCTGGAAGGCCCCCCGCTGAGATACAGGCCTGCACACCTGCATCCCGGGGGCAGTTAGGCTGCTCCTGAGACAGGGCTCCCTTTCACAGCCAGAGCATGCTGTTCCTCAGCCAGCTAAAAGAGGGGAAGGTGCTGACTAAACCTGGAGCCCTCCCTTCCAACTTCCTGGAATAGAAAAGGAAGCACAGGAAATTTTACTTCTGAGAGCACTTTGATTCCTGGATTATGGTTCCACTCTTCTCTGGACTTGCTGTCTTGAAGTGGCTCCAGGAAGATGGGTTCTTGTCCCTTTATGAGCCTTTTCATCCAACACATAGACCRTAGGACACATCACACAGTCATCTTCCTTCAGACAGAATTATGGGTCTGGGCCTGACAGGGACGGGGGACTCGGAACTGGCTGGCTGGTGGTGTCTGGGTAGCCTGTAGGCATGTAAACTTCTCTTCCCTGCCAGACAGAGGCAGCTGCTCCCCAGCCCAACCAGAGATGCCAGTGGAGGGGGTCGAGGTGAGATGTCATGCATCACAGCCCCTAGCAGACGCCCTATAATGGAGCACTACTTTTCAGGCACAGGAAACCAGTTTTCAGAAATCCCTGGAGCCAGCCAGGACCTAGCTCTGGCTTGTTGGCTTGATGCTTCCCAGCTGAGAAGACCCAGCCGCACCCTCTACCCAGTCCTGCCAAGGGACTGGCTCCTCTCTGTGCCCCAAATTAAGGGAGCCTGACACCCCCAACAGTGAGGAAGCTGACTTTTCTGTGGAGGAGTAAATCATTCATCTTTTTGGATGCTGATTGCCACCATGAGAGATGTCATGTACATAATGATATCCTTAGAAGGACATCTATAAAGTGGGCCACTTATTCCTTAGTCACTTGGATGCTCAGGCCAGCTGTCCTTCAGGCTGGCTCCAGACCAGCTCAGTATTGTAGGTTCGAGACTTTGAAGTTGTTTGTGCTGCTGATGGAGCCTAAAGATCATTGTTGAATGTCAAATGTGGAGAACATGCATAGACCACCCCAAAGGGTGGGTTATAGCATCTGGGAGCAGCATGTAGGGGAATCATTGCTAAGAGCAACATTCGAGATAGTCTCTGCACTTTCCATATGCTGTCTCATTTCATCCTCACAGTGGCCCTTTGAGCAAGGTATCACTACCCTCAGTTTCTGGAAGGAACTTGGTCTTGGGTAGAGGAACTTGCAAGGGATTCATGCCCTGCTCATCTACCTCCAGAGCCCTTCTCTGACCCCCTGAGCTAGACTCTCTTCCCCAAGTCACCTTGACCCGCACAGCTGCATCTTGTGTCCTCAACATTTGGCTGAATCAACTGGTCGAAAGCAGATCTATCCCCTCCTTTCAGTAATCCAGCAGAAATGCCTGTGTATGTGTGTGTGTGTGTGTGTTGTGGGACACTGAGTGAGCATCACCCACAAATAAGACACCATAGAAGAGAACCCTGTCCTTCCCTTCTAGCCATGTTCCTCTAACTCCAGGGGGGCACCGGGGGCTCAAGTCAGGTAGCCCTCCTTGGTGAATCTGTCCCATGGCATCTGGTTAAGATCACCCAGGAGGGAGGGGTGTGCAAGCTGTTTGTCACATTACCATAATGTGAATAACATCTTTTTACTTTTGTCCACAGTTCTCCTGTGTTTAGGTCCTTAAAAGATTAAGCTTCCTCAGGGGGAAAAAAAATAATAAGCTGTCATTTTTTTCTTCATTTAAGGAATCTGTTTCCTTTATGGGGACTTGTCATTTAGTCCGTTACTCTAAGTAATATTTTATTACTACTTAAAGGCTTTCATGCCTTATTGACAAAACGACTTGGGAGTGTTCTCTCTATCATCGTTACTGCTGATCAATCGAATCAGGTGGATTCCCCACCACATGCATTCTAGGCCACAGTTCCAGGTACTTGAATGGTGTATGTTAAGTAAGGTCTTCGCCATCTAGGACCACCATGTGTCCACGCTCTACCTGCACAATCTCCAGGGAACTTGCTCCAAACTCAAGCTCCCTTGACAACCTTCCAACTCTATTCAGTGAGGTTCTGGAGTGTGGGAAGGGGCCTGGGAAGCTACATTTGATAGTCTCCTTGGCTGATTTAATATAGTGTGAATTTGAGAGGCCCTGCATTTGGGGAATCATGACACTGGACTGTGGTGAGTGCAAAGACTTTATATAAAAGGACACATGATGTAGATACAAATTGTGGGGCCAAAGGCCAAACATCCATACACACTAATTTTCCTATGAAAGACTTGAGAGGGCATCCTATCTACCTATTTTCCTAAACTATGACCAAGGTTTAGGTGCCCTGGGACTTTCTGTAGGGCATAGAGCCGCTTAACTAGAGATTTCTCAGCAAAGCTCTAAAACGCAGAACATCTATTCCATTCTCTGAAGCCCTACAGATCACTCCAGGGTCACCACACACCATCAAGCAGATTGATTTTTGGAGTGGTTTAGAATTTCCATTGATTATGAAAATGCAGGGAGCCTGCAAAAGCCGGAGTATTCAACAATCAATTTTGCAATTCATTCTTGGTTAATGAGTAGGGTTCAGAGACAAGTCCACACTTCAGAAGGGGAAGATGGTACCACCTGCCAGAAATGCAGCCAAAAATGAGGGTTGTCAACAGCTTAATGCATGGACCTTACCAGGTGCCTCCAATGCCAAATAACTTGAATCTTCAGCACAGGTGGCTCCCAAATTAAACGGTTGTTTGGACCAGGGTGAAAACAGGTGAAGAAAAGGCAACCGCAGAGACACTGATGTTTTCTCTTATTAATTGCATGTTTTTCCCTCTAATGTCAGGCTGCGTCACCCATTTAAAAGTCCTGTTTGTTTCTGCAGGCATTCACAGAGACGCAGAAAAAAAGATTGTTGTCATGGAAACAGCAGGTGCAGAAGCTCTTTCGGTCTTTCCCTCGGAAAACCCTCCTAGACATATCGGGATATCGACAGCAAAGAAAGTATGTTGGGATTTCACTCTTTGTGATACACGGTGGTTCCCCGGGGTCCCACGGGCTGCCTCTGTTCCTGGGGCAGGAATATGGCGGGGCGTCACTCCTTCCCTGTGGGGACTTCCAGAGTTCCAAATCGCATTCGTTAAACAGGTGGGGCTGGGAAAAGGCTGTTAGGGAGAGCATTCCCAGAAGAAGAGCTGAATGTGAGCTTTTGTAACTCAATTTACATTGTTAGAATGATATTAGTCTAGACAAGCCTGGGAAGGGAGAGTGGGTACGACTTAATGAATGCCAGCAAAACACAGGTGCTTGATCCACAAAGGGGGTCTAAGAGTACAAAAATGGGCTCTTCTACCAGTACCTTAAGTGGTATGCAATTTTTTTTTATCTCCCTTCTAGCTGCAGACAAGCTAATTATAGTTGGTGGCAGGGTGAAGAGCCCAAGTGCTAGTCTATTTTGGTCTGAGCTGCAGTCTAATAGTGGAGCAGTACCATTCTTGATTTTTTTTTTTTCATAATACTTCAGCTTCTTGGATGCAGTTAAAAATAAGCCTGGTTGTGCTTTAGAACCTGTTCCCTTAATATGACTTTAAGTTGAGGAATCCAAAATTGCATATTAAAAGTGAATTGGAATGAAAACTTACAGGAGAAATTAATGGGAGGGGGGAGTGAGTTAATGCTTGAACAATGGTAGGGGCCTCGTTGGGAATTAGGGGAGTGATAATACAAACATCCTGAAAAGAATCAACATTCTATTTACATTCAAAAACATGAACGGATAATGTCTTCCCTTGCAACTAACAGGTTCTGTTAGGTGCACAGGCATCTCATTTCTCAGTGTATATATAGAAGCTCTGTGTTGTTAAAATGCGGGACATTTATTTGCATAAGTGTGCCTTCAAACATCACTGTTTTGTATTATTTAAGGGAGGTAAGGCCAGCTGTAGTTTGCAAAAGTCTTCATGAACTATTTATTTTAAAATGAAAGTGTTATCACATTCCAGCATATAGCACTGTTATTTATTAAACAAACATTTATTTAGCACGTACTATGTGCCAAGTGGTATCCAAGCACTTAAAAATATCAATACATTTCATCCCTGCAACAACCCTATGAGATAGAGCTGCTATTATTAACCCCAATTTACATATGCATTGGTAGGCAGGGGCACTCAGGATTTGGACCAAGCAGGACAGCGCCAGCCCTGGATTAGTGCTCTTCACCACTGCTGAGCCAGGCAACTCTCATGGTCTGAGGCCGATATGCAGAAAGGAGCACTATTGCCAGCTTCCTGGCCCTAAGCCATCTGGGGTTGCCAAGCCCTGCTGGGTTGGGCTAGACCACCTCTGTGCTCTTGAGGATTCCCAGTGACCCAGATGAAACGCAAGGCCTGCTCCTCATCCTCCCTTTTTCTAAGGGCAGCATCTTCTCCCAAGTAAGGGAAAGGAGGCTCCAGACCCTGCCTGCAACTCTAGGCCCCAAGGAAGCAAGATCCAAGAAGACAACTTTCAGAGGTCGAAGTGAAAGATAGGCTCTTTGTTCCTTCTCCCTAAAGTCTCATCCTCTGCCTCTGCTAGCCCTGCTCGTCCTTGATCCATATCCTTGATTCTCGGGACAGCRCAGGGGCATTAACCTTAACCGTCCAGAGTATTAACTAGCTATTGCTTGGGTTGGAATAATGCAAAGCTTGCCAGGTTGGAGTCCTGATGGTCCTCTTTTTCTTGATTTGATGAAAGAATGAATTCAATCATCAATTGTAGATGGATGTCGATAAAACCCTGGAAAAATATTTGTTCTCCTAAGTATTTCCTCTGGGATCTTTTTATACTATTAATTTGCTTTGAAGACCTGCTTCTCCAATAATGTGAGGGTAACTGCAGCCCAGCCCCTGCTTGAATTATCACAAATCCCAAATTAATTGCCTCTTATTAATGTTATTTTATCAAAGACTTTTCATGCATTTCAAGGTAATGAAATCAGATTTAGAAAGACAGAGAAGGAGGGGCACAGATGCACAGAGCAGGAGAATAAGAAAGGAAAACTTAGTTTTGTCACTGCATTCTCTCCCCAGAAAGCATGATTATTTCATTAAGCCTAGAGATCTTCAGTTGCCTAAGCATTCAGTTGCCAGCAGCAGCAACCCTGGCTTTGTCATAACCTACTAAGGACACTGTAGCAGGGTCTGAAGAATGACAGCTTAGTCAAATTCTCCCCCATCATCACATCCTACTCCCAGAATGTTCTGGGCTCAGCTCTCCTCTCCCTAACAGCTGAGACCTAATTCTAGGAGTCCCGAGGTCCCTCATTTCTCTGGTGGCTGTCCCATAACAGCATCCTCCGCTGTTACATTGCTCAAGAACAGCCTTGCCTTCCTGGAAACACACATCATTTTAGCAACACTCATTGACTGCTGTGTTTTGCATATGAAATAACTTTCTAAAATCCAACAAAAAAGGAAAGTGAGAAAAAGCTATGCACACTAAATAAGGAAAAATATCATAGCAGAATACTGAATCATCTACCAGGTGGCCAAAATTCTGACTCCAGAAACCAAAGGACTGATTTTCACAAAAACAAACACATGAAAAACCCACTTGATCCTTATTTCCACCTGTCACTTACCTCAGAGTGTCCTCCCTCCACAGAGGGTCTCTAATCATGTGAAATTAGTTCCACCTCTCCTGGCCCTAATTTCTTCTTTCAGATAAAAAATTCTGAGCTGATGTTTTTAAGAGGTGGGGAGGGGAGAGATCAAGAACCCCCAAGCATCATCGTCCTCCACATTTAGATGAACTTCTGACCAGAATCTAGAATACTTCCCTTGGCCACAAAAGCCTAGAGGTGGAAACACACAAGTCTGGAATTCTCTTCCCTGCCCCATCTATCCCTAGGAAATTTTGGAATTCTAGAGTGAAGAGAAACATTTTCTGAGATCTGTTGTGCTGCAGGCTCAGAAGACCCTTCCTCCTACACACACACACACACACACACACACACACACACACACACACACACTTCACACACAGCTCTCTTGCTCAGGAAATGACTCTTTGGTGGCCCCCCTCCTCCACCAGCTAAGCTACGTCAAGCCTGTCTGCGGAGTCCCCTCACAGGCTTGGTACAAACTCCCCAGTGTAGCTGGACATGCAAGTCTACTCCATCTAGTGGCCTTTGGAGATAATGCATCTCTGCTGAACCATAGAGAATGACTTAGGCTGACTCTCTTGGAAAGAATGTGCTGGTTCTTGAAACCCTGCTGGCTGCTGTGTAACCTCCCAGAACCTGAGGCATGGTGGCAAAAATGAGTTCTTCAGCGCTGAGCTCACCCGGCCCAGCCGGAGCAGCCTCCTGCGTGGACTAAGGAGAAGCCTGGAGCCTCTCGGGTGCAAGGCCCACATCACAAGGAGGGCCTATGGCACGTGGGTGTCCTATATCCAGGGCACTTAGACACATTGTCATCTCATATCCCTACTCTCAACCTAGGAGTTCTTCCCCTTCTGTCATTGGGACAAGCATGATGGCAGAGACTCATTCCTTCAACCAGCATTTCCAATGGCAGAAGCTGATACGGTCACTTCTCAATCACAAGGAGTGACAAGCACAGGCACTTTTTTCTCATAGAGCTTACAACTCAGCAGGGCTCACAGGCCTCCCTTGAACTTCAAGTCTGCTGCAGAGAGAGCAAGATGGAAAATGGACCATAGTATGATGGAAGGAGTTTTGGTGCCGGTTATGCCACTTTCTTGCACTGTGGCCTTTTGAAAGGCACTGTGCCCTTGTCCACAGCACCAGACATTGGAGGAGACCTGCTTGGAAAGAGCAGGACAGTGCCTAGTTCAGCCATCCCGGCTCATATTCCAGCACTGCCCCCTGCTGGTTCTGTGGCCCTTACAAAATGAAGCTCCATACCTCTGGCTGTAAAGGGATAGTGACCTACTTTATAAGGTTGCGGTGAGGCTTGTGGAGCCATGTTTGAGTGCCAGGACAGGTCACGTGCTATCACCCTAGACCCTCACCAGCACAGAGCCCCCCACAGACCTCTTACCTATCAAAATGTGAGCAGACCCCTGGTAGCCTGAGATTAGGAAGGCTGAAGAATGATTGATAGTCTCCTGGTTCTTTTTCCTTGTTCTAGTCGCGGCTTTGGGCAGTCCAACTCCCTCCCGACGGCTGGCTCTGTGGGCGGCGGAATGGGCAGACGGAACCCACGCCAGTACCAGATCCCCTCTCGGAATGTCCCTTCTGCCCGCCTAGGCCTCTTGGGCACCAGTGGATTCGTCAGCTCCAACCAGCGCCACACTGCAGCCAACCCTACCATCATGAAACAAGGAAGACAGGTTTGCCTGCCCCGGGGAGTAGGGAGGTGGGCTAGGCTCAGAGCCGGAGACTTCAGGACTTCCCTCCAGATGATCCAGGGTCGGGAGACAGGTCCAGGAGCTAAGCTGAGGGATGATTAAGCCCATGCCACCCAGGCAACCAGCACTATTCAGGTTATTTCTCTGGGAGACAGAGCAACCCCATGGCCGAGCTAGAGATGCCTCAGGAACCCTGTAGAGGAGGGCCTTTAGAGAGATGTGCCCCAACTCATTCTTCTGTACCTTAATCCTTGGCCCACTCCCACAGATCTGTCACCTCTCAGGTCCAGGTTCCAGAGGACCCTGAACATTTAAGGAGCTTTCTCTACCTTTTTATGTGTGACAGCTGCTCCTTTGTCATGGCCCCAGTTGTGATGGAGATTTCACAGATTAACTCTGAGAGAGGCTGTTGGCAAGAGAGTGGACACATTCCCAGATGGTGAAGGCCAGGTTGCTCAGAGGTCCTTGCTGTGTGATCTAGAACTCACCTGTCCCGTAGCCCTGCCCTTACTTTCTGCCTGTGACCCCAGTCCTGTGAGGGCTCTGCAGGTTGGCACTGAGATGGGAGAGAGACAAGCAGGTCTGAGGCTCTGAGTTCTCATGTGAAACTAAGGGGTAAGCGATTGGCTTAAAAATAGGAAAACCACTCTAGGAGAGATGGGTGGATTCCTTCTCAAAGAGAATCAGTCCAGGGTCTGAGAAATCCCCACTTTGTCACCATTGTCCCCACCCCCCTGATCAAGGGGATATCACTGCCCAAATACACAGAGCTGAGTTGGGCCAGAGCATTGCCAGCTRAGAAGTTCTTTTTTTTCTCCCACTCACTGTGGAGTAAATTGTAAGTAACTCAAAAGGAAAAAATCAAAGGAAAGCCTGAAATAGTTTGTACTCTTTGTTGCAAACATTTATAGAACTCCTCCAGTTCCTAGGAAAGTGGCAGGAAAAAGCAACACATGGAGTAAAAAAAAAAAAAAAAAAAAAAGTTTTGGAGATAGTGAGGGAGAGAGGTGGCCAGATTAAGCAGAAGCTTAGAGCCAGGCCTGGGAGTGAGCAAGTTGAGAAATACAATGAATGGAACTTACACCCTCTCCCTGTGAATGTGCAGGTGGCCAGGCTGCCTGCCAGCTCTCCTCCAGAACTTAGGAGAGTTCTCCTGGGACATTTGCCTCCTGAATTCTGCCTGGGGCTCTGCTACCCCTCTCTTCCCCAGAGTGTCTAGACTAACAGGCCCCGCTTTGCCTTTCTCTCTAGAACCTCTGGTTCGCCAACCCCGGTGGCAGCAACAGCATGCCCAGCCGCACCCACAGCTCCGTCCAAAGGACCCGCTCGCTGCCTGTCCACACTTCTCCACAGAACATGCTGATGTTCCAGCAGCCAGGTAGGGCTGGGCCCTTGATCTCTCACTTCCTTCCCCCCTTGACACAGGGCGGGGGCCAGGATGCCAGAATAGATGCCCCATGCACTCAGCTGGAAAGGGCTTAGCCTCGACTGTCGCCACACATTCTGAGCTTGTGGAAGTCTTTCCTTTTTTAAACTGTGTCTTGCCAGCAGGAAGAGCGGCTGCTTGGCCCGGAGCCAGCACGTGGAGCCCCAGAGTCACTTGCAATCTGACAGGGATATTTTTGATACTATTCATATTTATAGATTGATTAAGCCCGAGATATCACTGGAGGGTGTGTGTGTGTGTGTGTGTGTGTGTGTGTGTGTAAAGTGAGAGTGAAACAGAAAACTCCATCGTATTGAACTGGTTCAGGATTGCCTTGATGAGAAGTATTTTTCCATTAACTTGGTCCATTTCAGGCTGGTTCAACCGAATCATCACACCTCCTGAAACAAGGTAGCCAGAATGATACAAATCCAACAGTTCCTTGAACCCTTGTAAGCTGTCCCCTCTTAGACTCTGAGACAAGCAATCCATAAACCTACCTAGTTGTCCCCCACCCCGGAATACCTGTAGGAAAATGCCACCCTAGGCAGTAGAAGCGCTTTTGCATGGCAGGTCCCATGAGAGTCCAAGGAAGGGAAGTGTCTGTGGCCCCAACTGGGCAAAGAAGCTTCTTGAAAATGGAGCGGAGCCTCAGGGGACAGAGGGTGAAGAGGTAGAAAGAGCAGGCAGAATAGCAGGCAGGAGTGGTCCAGGAGCAAGACTGCACAGGTACAGTGTCACTGCGGGCCCAGAAGCCCTGGCTAGGCTGAAGGATCTGGCTAGAATAGCAGCAAGCAGACCGAGACAGCTGTAGATTATATTCCTGATGGGAGGTGTGGGGACAACTTTGAATATAAGCTGAAAAGCACAGAATCTGGCCCATCTCAATAGGGAATTCATGGGAGATTTTTTWWAAATTATTTATTCTAATTTTTTATATATGACAGCAGAATGCAATTCAATAAATATTACACATATAGAGCACAATTTTCATATCTCTGGTTGTACACAAAGTATATTCACACCATTTGGATCTTCATACATGTACTTAGGGTAATGATGTCCATCTCTTGCCACCAACTTTCCTTCCCCCATGCCCCCTTCCATCCCCTCCCTCCATTCTAAAGTTCCTCCATTCCTCCCATGCTCCCCATCAATGCCCAATATGAGTCAGCATCCTCATATCAGAGAAAACATTCAGCCTTTGTTTTTTTGGGATTGGCTTACTTCACTTAGTATAATATTCTCCAACTCCATCCATGTGCCTGCAAATGCCATGATTTTTCTCTTTTAATACTGAGTAATATTTAATGCTGAGTGTACATATACCACACTTTCCCTATCCATTCATCTACTGAAGAGCATCTGGATTGGTTCCACAATTTAGATATTATGCTGCTATAAACATTGATGTGGCTGCATTACTGTAGTATGCTGTTTAAAGTCCTTTGGCTACAAACTGAGGAGAGGGATAGCTGGGTCAGATGTTATTTCCATTCAGATTCCAAGGAATCTCCATACTGCTTTCCAGAACGGCAGCACCAATTTGCAGACCCACCAGAAATGTATGAATGTGCCTTTTCTTTTCCCCCATATCCTCACCAACATTTATTGTCGTTTGTATTTTTAATAGCTGCCATTCTGACTGGAGTGAGATGAAATCTTGGAGTATTTTTTTTTTAATTTCTCTAATTGCTAGAGATGGGAGATTTTTGAGTTCTGGTTCAGGCAGGAATGTATAAACGGGGAAGCAGGCTAGTGGTGAGCTGGTTGGGAGGATTTTGGAGAGATTCCACCCCAGAAAAAGGCATGTCAGGAAAGGAAGCAACAACCACATTGCTATAAAAATTGCTCCTTGACTTCTAAAACTCATTTGCTCACTCTTGCTTAAAACTCCTCCCCACCCTCCCCTTCTTTATTTTTCTATTACAACACTTGTAGGCATTTTAGGAGGGTTGTGAACACCTTCCCTCTGGGTCATTTAGGCCAATGCTGTGTTCTCATGCAGAATTTTGTATAATTCATTCTCAGTAACATTGAATCTGGGCCAGGTGGGTGGCACATGCCATAATCCTAGCTCCTCAGGAGGCCGAAGCAGGAAGATCACAAGGTCAAAGCCAGTCTGTACAACTTAGCAAGACCCAAAACTCAACATAAAATTTTAAAAAGAGGCTGGGCATGTAGCTCATGGTACCAGTGCTTGCCTCRAAGACACAAGGCCAGGGTTCAATTCCCAAGCACCACAAAAGAAGAAGAAGAAGARGAGGAGGAGGAGGAAGAGGAGGGGAGGAGGGGAGGAGGAGGAGGAGGAGAATCTGGACGAATTTAAAGATATCCTGGACATGAGCAGATCTTTAATTTTGAATGAACACCTTACCCTGCCTCAATCCCAGTGGTCAACCTAGCTGTCCTTCAGCCTCATGGAGTCCTAGCAGAGATGACTGATCTTCAATCCTTAATGCTCTATGGCCTTCTCAATTTTTTCTTCACCTGTTCTTTCCTTCCTGCCTCATTTTGCCTAGTCTCCAGTCCCCCCTCCTCTTTATTCTTGCTGTACTTTCCCCATCTTAATTGGGAAGACCAGGCCCAAACAGTCTATTTCCTGAGAGGAGTCCCATCCCTGAGCACTTTGGGTCTGTTAATATAGTTTCTGGGCTGGACCTTTGTTTCTCCTGCACTGTTCAAGAGCAATGCCATGTTCAGGGAGAACCATGAATTTATGATCATTTCACCCTTTTCACACAAAGTCTCTTGTTCTCATAGTTAAATAATCAAATAATACAGGACTTATGAGGAAAGTATCCCTTCCCCTACCTGTCCCATAGTCCCATATTCCAGAGGCAATCATATAGACCAGTTTGTCTTCAGTTTTCCTTCAAAGTAGTAATCTGAAAGTCTCTAAATAAATTTGCTTTGCATACTGGACTTAGAACTTTGGAGCCGTTGAGGTTTCTTTTTAAAAAAAAAAAAATTATCCCTTTCTCAAGCATTATAAGCCCACATCCAGCCAGGCCTTCATGAACTACAGCATTTCTAATAATGGCCAAAACATGGGAACAAAGCTACTGCAAATTTCAAATAAACTGGTGAGCACTCCACGGAGCCACTCCAAGTTCTGCCCCACATACTCAGCACCATGCTAGGTGGCAGCTTCTGGGATGTGGCCACGAAGGATGAGGCAGGACATGGCCAGGACCCAGAATCCCTCACTGAAGGGAAAAGAGGCTGCAGAAAGTCTCTGCCAAATAGCAGTGCTCCTCAGCCTTTGCTCCAAATACATCCTGTGCCCTTGCCAATCAAACCAGTGTTGTCAAGACAGCTTTTCCTGCATCCTGAGCAGGAGCCTCCACAGATACTAACCACTAGGCCAGGCCCAAACAAGGCTCATCATAGAGAGATGGGCCCTTCCACACAAAGCAGCTTGACCCAGTTAACTATAGAGACTTCTGGGAGCTTGTGGCTAGGTGCTAGGACCAGAAACTACAAGTGTCATATCAGAGGCTGGGGATGTAGCTCAGTGCTTTCCTAGCATGCATGAGGCCCTGGGTTTGATCCCCAGCATTGTGAAGGAAAAAAAGAAAAAGAAAAAAAAAGAAATGCCTTATCAGGACATTGGAAATCAGGAAAACAAGAATGTAGCTCTTATTGTTACACTAACAGAAGTAACAGTGAACACAAAATGAAATAAAGACACATAACAACCCAAAATTCAATACTGGAAAAACTGCTTTAGGAGGTAGTGTTTTCCTCCTGGCCCTGAGATGTCTTCAAGGCATCTATTTTAAACCACTTGGGCAAATCATGTAGCATACAGTGCATTCTAAGGAAGACTGGATTCTATAAACTTAAAAGTAATTCCACTAGTGTGGAAGATTTAAAATATCTCCAAAGAATAACACAGAAGACTGGGGACTAGAACCGGCCCCCAGCTGTGTTTCAAGGATCAGTTGCCCTGCTTGGATTTGTGTTGTAAGGCAGCACTTCCTTCTTTCCTGGCTCCACATTATTCAAGGATCCCTTGGAGATCATCTCAGCCGACTTTTTGCTTTCTCCCCACCTGGAAAGGCTTCAGGTGTTTCCCAGGACTGACCAGGAGAGCTATCAGGGTTACTGCCTCTCACTGTCCTCTGGGATGAGTAAGAAACACCAAGCTGGACCTCCCCGAGTGAGGAGGACAAGATCCGAGACACTCACCAAAGGGGATGCAAGCTTGACAAAAGGGTGACTTCCAGAGAATGCCACGTTCCTCGAAAAGGCCGGGTACTTTCCCATCTGGAAAATTTGTTTGGAACTTGTTTGGAGGCTGATCCTTTATTTTAGAAGCGGCTCTGGTCCTGCTGACCCAGACTCAGTTGTCCTTGGGATCCAGTCAAAGAGGATGTTGGAGTGACTCTAGCACGGTGCTCAGAGACCATGGAGGCAGGCTCCTTGACCCAGGGGGGCTGATGAGAAACTCAGTACAGAGAGACCCAGAGAAGGCTTCAAAGCAAAACTATCAGAAGGGAAGATTGGACCGCCTCACAGGGCTGCATCCTGGAAATCTCACCCTTTCCTTGCACAGAACCACATGCAAAAAAAAAAAAAAAAAAAAAAAAAGTAGGGTTCTAAAGATTTTTTCCACAAAACAACCAGCCTATTGCTTATTCTAAAGTTCTAGATAAATTGGCTTCTTACACTCAGCCTCAGTGCCTTGAAGAGAACAATGCAGAATTGCACAGTAGGTGCCATGGACATAACACTCAGCCCAAGGGCGGCCAGTGTCTGCCAAGGACAAGCCTCATATGCTCTTCAAATTGATTCCACAGCAGCACCTCTTAGAGAAGGGGAGCTACTCCCTTCCAGCCTCCCCTTGACCCTGGGCCTTGAAACCAGGGGACTTCTGAAAAGGGACAATTAAGTTTCCATGACCTTAACCCTAAGAATCCTCACTAAATCCTAGAATGTTCTAATGGTGAGGAAAAGAATACCTAATATGGGTTGAATGTCCCTTATCCAAAAGTACTTGGGACCAGAGATCTCAAAGTTTTTTTTTTATTTTAGAATATTTGCACAGACTTTAGATAATTAAACATTTCATCTGAAAAATCTAAAATCTGAAGTGCTCCAAAATCAAACTTTTGGAGCATCATGTCAGCATAGAGTTTCAGATTTCAGATTCTGGATTTTTAGATAAGGCTGCTAGGCCTATACTTAGAGATGTCACCTAAGCTAAAGAAATAGACCTATTTTGGACAACAGCAAAGACAGTCAGGAGGCACCTTTCCCTTTTGCCTTACCAAGGACTTGCAGCGATGTCTGCCAGGGTCTGGATAACTAAGAGAAGCCCTCAGGTTTGCAGGAGCCATAGCAGAGGCAGCCTGGTGGTTAATGTGGGCCAGGAACTGCCCAAATGCCTCTCTAGGGCTTTGTGGAGGGTTCTGTCCCTCAAGCCACATATCACTGAGGGTTTCTAGTATGAAATGGAAGTCGTCATCTATCCAACTAGTCTTCCTTTGTCTTGAGTGTATGGCAAGAAGCCAGGGATCTGTTTTTATCAAATACACAATTAAAAAGTCACACTATTAGGAAACTCTGCAGTGTGAACATATGGGCTTCTCCCAAGACTTAGAATTTTTAAGAGCCACCCTGAGAGTAGTGAGGTCACAGCTCCCTAGCGCATCAGCATGAAGAGCCGGAGGTGAGAGAGCAAGAATACCAACTCCCCACTGAAAAGAGCAGCCACGGAGGTTTGGAGATGCTGGAGCAGAGAGCCCTGCATTTCTCAGCCCCCTTTTTGGAACATTCAATCCCAGGCTTGGAAAATGGCATTTTGCTGCATGTTGGCAAGAAATCCTGCAGCTGAGACGCTCCTCTCCAAATGTCGAGCATCTTTATTTATCCAAATCTCTCCACAGTGTTTGTTTAAAGGGGAGCGCTAGAGAGTAAACTAAATCTTACAATGAGCATATGGATGGCTATAATTGCTGAGGTTTGTTTTTTTTTTCTTATTTGCTAACTAGCTATATATAAAATTGTGTTTCTATTTTATAGATTTCACACCCTGAAGACTGCTAATTTTTGCATGCATATGATTTTCACATGAATGGATGAAAATACAAAAATATTCTTCCCTCTGGGATTATCTAATTGCCCCAGCCCTGCTCTTCGCAGCAACTAGTGGGTGGGGCAAGAGATACTCCTGCCATTTTTTTCTGGCTCCCAACTTCCCTGGAAGCTCAGTTGGCCTCCATCCACTCAGGAATTGGCCCAGTTGTCTTCCAAACCCATCCATGCTGGAACTCATGGCAGACAGAACACGGTCTGCTCCCCAGGGCTTCTCATATCGATCCATTTTGCCAGCCTCCTCTCTGAGAATTTTAAATAACGGAAACGACATCTGCCTCTGAATTAGCTGGTAATGGGAAACACAAATTGCGAAAGATCTTAATATATAGTTAATCAAAGAAAACAAATACTTTGGTTTGGCCACTGGTTTGAACTTCCTATCCCACCAAACCGCCAACCTCAGTGGGATCCTTTTCTCCCTCTCTGGTCCCATGTGCCCCCTAGTGGACAAATGAAGGAGCCCGGAAATGCCCTGTAATTTGGACCCCAGGTTGCTTTTTCTTTCCCACTTTAGAACTAAAGGACCAAGAAAGGGATCAGTTTCCCAGCTCACATAGGAAAGTTGTGACAATGTTGAGACTTCTTAATCACTTGGAACATACCGCATGCCAACAACCCTTCTGGGACATTTTTGGTACTTGGGATTGAACTCAGGGGCACTCAACCACTGAGCCACATCCTCAGCCCTATTTTGTATTTTATTTAGAGACAGGGTCTAACTGAGTGGCTTAGCGCCTTGCCATTTGCTGAGGCTGGCTTTGAACTCACGATCCTCCTGCCTCAGTCTCCTGAGTCGCTGGGATCCTTCTATTTCTTAATGTATGGTTTTCACCAATCAGCAGACATGTATGAATTGTGCAGAAGCCAGGGATGGGTATGATGGGGATGGAGAGAGACAGGAAAGTATTATGGCTGTTGCAAGATTCCCCCAGGTAGTTAAAGACACTCAAGGACCCTGCAGGATGAGGAACAGGAAGGTACTGACAGTGGGTCCCTAGCCATAAAGAGGAGGAGGTTCTCCCACTCGGGAAAGGTAAGCTCCAAGCCTGGGGAGATGGAGAGGGTCCAGATGGTGGAGAAGTGGGAGTTGATCCCTTAGTGTCCTTGGAGTAGGCATCTCAGCCCTTCCTGCTAAAGTGTATTGGAGGCTGAGTATGATGACAGCCTCCCATAGTCAACTGTGGCAGGCAGGAGGGCATTGACTCTGGAGTCAGACACGGGTCCTGTCCCAGCTCCATGTTAGCCAACTAGCCCTGATGGATAAGTGGTTCAGCCTCTCAGAGGCCCACTTGGGAACTGGGCTTTGTTGGGCAGTTCCTTTGTTGTGCAGGAGCTGGCATCTCAGAAGCACCTGGCACTCAGAAGGAAGTACTCATAAGGTTGGAAGTAAGGCTCCTACTCTGCTCCTCCTAAGAAAGCAGGGGGAAGGGCTAAGTCCTGCTCTAATGACCCAAGCATTCTACTGGGGAAGGCAGAAGGAAAATCCATAATATGTCTGAGGTTGGTGGAGGCTACAAAGAAGAAAAAGCAGGAGAAAATGGGTAGTGTGGCAGGGGAAGGTTCTCTGTCTCTTGATAAAGTCCCTTCTGAGCCCAAGCTATGAAGGCAGGGAGAGAATGAGCCATGAGGATCTGTGAACTGGGATTCCAGGCAGAGGGAACACAGTGCAAAGGCCCTGGGGTCGAAAGAGATTGGGATGGAGCAAAAGGAAGGGGAGAGTTTATGAGGACAGGGAGGTAACTAGAGACTAGATCATGTGGGGCCTTGCAGGCCATAGCCAGAGTTTGGCTCTTACTCTGATAGGAAGCCGCTGGAGGGGTCTGAGAGGAGTGATAGACTATGACTCTGACCAGCTATTTTTAGCCACCAGTTTTCTTCCAGCTGCCTGTGTCTGCAGTGGCCTCTGTGTCTAACAGCTCAGAGGTTGGTGGAACCTGAATGTAACGTGCCCTTCGTGTTGGCCATGAAGGTCCCCAAGTCCTCCCTGGGAGGCACACCAGACTCTCCTCCTGGCATGTGGCATCATGCATACTTTCTCCTTGTCCTTAATGTCCCTGTCACCAACATAACCCTTTGTCCTTGCAGAATTCCAGCTTCCTGTGACTGAACCTGACATCAACAACAGGCTGGAGTCCTTGTGCCTCAGTATGACCGAGCATGCCCTGGGAGGTGAGTGTCCTCCCTTCCTGTCCTCCTCACTATGTACCGGGATGACTGTGGCCATCTGCCATCTGCACTCTGGCAGCAGCTCTGGGGAAGGGGACAAGGAGAGTTGGCAGGAAATGGGGAGAAAGCAGCCTTGACATACTATTGAACCCTCATCTGGCCRCACCCGCCACGTGGCCTACCATGCTCGGCTCCCCTCCCTTCCTGGGAGGTGAGTCAGGGCCCTGGAAACCAAATAGACCAAAGCCAGCCCCCAGAGGCTCCTCCCCCAGGACACATTGGAACCCATCACAACAGTTGTCCCAGCCAGACTCAGGGAGGAGTCAGGCACACACGACGTGGCTTCTAGCAGGAACATCCCCCACAGCACTGGATGCTTTCCTTCTCGGCACTGGATCCCCCAGTCTGGGCCAAGCATATCCCAACGTGCTCTAAAAATAGAAGTTTTGAAACAAAGATCCCTGCTTGCTTTTATATCCCCCAGTTGAAAAGGGCTTGCATGACTCCTGGAGCTCCAAGCAATCTGAGCTGTCCTTCACCGAGTGACAGGGATGGCTTGGGTGTCCACAGCCAAGATGGAAGCATAGGCTACAGGGTGAAGGACTGGCACCATGAGGCTCTCCCCGAGGCAGCGGTGCTTCCCCATGGGTTTGGCCTGCAGCCTACCTCCTCATAGCTGTCCGGGAGGCCCTGGCACCCTCCTGGTACCAAGCAGGCACCTTTCTCTGGATCTGCATATTTGTGGATTGCTGGCAGGCCAAGGAGAGGAAATGTCCACCCCCTTCTGCCACCCTCCTGAGAGTCTCTAGGTCACAGAAATGCTGAAAGGCCACCCATGGGACTTCCCCATAGCCTTGCGCAGCCTGGATATGCTTACCTCACCCAGAGAATGGGCTGTCCACACACCTAGAAGGCTCCATGGCTGTCCCCTAGCTGCAGTAGGCCCAAAGGCTGCTGTTAGCTACAAACAGCAAACCCACTCTTATCTTGACACCAAATGTAAAACAGACAAATGCTCTGTATGGAGCAAAATGCAGGCCTGGGACTACACCCACCTGACCTTGGTACCGGGACCACTGTGACCTTGCAGGGCTTCAGACAAAACAGGTGGTGAAAAGGCCCAACTCCTTCTGTGACCTCCTCTCGAGTTCCATGGAACCCTATTTGCAAATCACTGCTCTCTCCGTGGCTGCTCAGATCCTAGAAGTTTCAAAGCCTCATGGGGTCATCCCTAGTACACTCCCCATAGGAGGTGCCATCGGCTTCTCTCTGCCTTACTAAGGAGTCAGCAGCCCCTAGTGAGTAATGGGAAATCACCAAAGTTCATCAACAGATGAATCTGGACCAATAAGATGCAGCATGGCCATACAATGGAAAGAAGTACTGATTCATGCCATGGCAAGGATGGACCTTGAAAACTTGACACTGGGTGCAACAAGCCAGACCTGAGTGAAGGAAGGCCACTGACTATATGACTCCATATATATGAAATGTCCTGGATAGGCTGCTACATGGGGACCGAGAGAAGAGTGTTGCCATCAGCTGTGGGGAAGGGGGAATTTGAGAGCCACTGCTAATGGGTACCAGATCTCTTTGCGGGTAATGGGAATTAGATAGTAGTGATGGTCACATAACTTTGTGACTACACTAAAAACCAAGGGAATGTAACCTTTAAAAGGGTGAAATTTACAATATGCAAATTAACTCAGATTTTTTAAAGGATTTTTGGGGGGAGTTTTTTTTTGTTTGTTTTACTTTAAAGGAAGTAGTGAGGGCATCCATGAGGCCAGAGTTAGGACAGCCAATGGTGAGCAAGTCTGCCAAGCAGGGCCCTACTGGAACTCTCCACTGGGAAGCCTCCAGACCCTGGGTGGTCGGGCAGGATCAGCCCATTGCTCTCCTGCCCCACATGGCTGACAGGTGAGGAGCCCGGCTCCATCTTTTAATGCCTTTGAGTTAGCAAAGAGAACCGACCTTTTCCCTAGAATTGGATGTATCTCAAATACCTGCATTTTTGGAAGGTATTTTTTTTKGGGGGGGGTACTGGGGATTGGAGCCAAGGGCATTTACCTCTGAGCTACCACCCCAGCACTTTTACTTGTTATTTTGAGATAAGGCCTTGCTGAGTTGCTTAGGACCTCTCTAAGATGCTGAAGCTGGCCTCAAACTCATGATCCTCCTACCTCAGCCTCCTGAGTCGCTAAGATTACAGGCAGTGCCACTGCACCCAGCCCCAAATGATCTTTTCTTAAAGGGAGGTTTTCATTGAAAAGATTTCCTTTTTTAGGAAATCCTTTCCTTTCCATAATTCCATTTTTACAGAATACCTCTCTGAACTGATGAGTTTTTGCTAATGTTTTCATCTTGTTAATTGATGAAAACTTTTTTATTGCTGTGTTTTTTTCCCAATAAATCTCCTCTGGTGGGAAGCCTTGTAAGCAGTTTCCTGAGCAGAGGATGCAAATTAAGTTCAGGGTGGCCTAGCTGGGCACACTGGCAATGTGTCCTCCCACTATGACAGCATCCCTCAGCTGGCTGGCCCCTGCCAGGTGCCAGGGGAGATGACCTTGATGGGCACAGAATGCCAACAAATGAAGTCATTTCACTGGAAGACAAGTGACAAGGGAGAGGAAAGCAGAATAAAAGAGGTACCCCCTACTTGTGACTCAGGAATAGAGAAGGAGGGTGTCAAGTTCCTGGGACCCCATATCCCAGAAAGGCCACTCTAGCATGACGGGTCCATGGGCCCCAGGGGCCCATCCTTTCATGCTGACATCTCTGGTCTCCATGGTCTCATCCAGGAGTTGCTGCCCTCCTGCTGCCAGTCTAAGCCACTCTTCTCTTTGGCCTTCCTTTTCCATCTTTTCTCACCTGAGGCCCCTCCAACAGAATGGAGAGGTTGCCCCTGCCACCTTGGTCTGTGAGTCTTTGAGGCTTTCTTCAAGCTCTGTTGGGTTCACTCCTGGTCAGTGGTCTGAGAAAATCAGTAAGATGAAATGCCAAGCCTGGCCACTGTCCTCCTGCAGAGGACGCTGTGGACAGGCATGCCCACCACTACAAAAGCAAGGCTCCTCCCAGCTGAGTCTGCAGTGAATCATGCATGGAGAGGAAGACATGGTCCACTCTTTGATTTTCTGGGGTTTACCTTGCTCTTCCTTCTTATCTTCTCCACTTACCCCACTCTTGAGACTTACCAGCCCCACACACGGTCAATATGGAGATTGTGCAAGTTACTTTCTCAAGCCACCAAGCTGTCATTTGTTGGAAAATGTCATACTAACCGTAAAACCTATGATGTTGAATGGCGCCCCCTGGCGTCCTGAGTGTACTGCTTGAACAACTACAAACACTCTGGATTTACTGATTGGTGCTTTCCCTGCAGATGAGAATCATAGTCCTTGGATGATGAGTCATGGGGTTGGAATTCAATGAAAACACAGCTTGGTGGTGGGTGCATGCAGATTTCCATGTCTCCAACTCCACACTTTTATAGCTCTGAAGGTTTGGCATTGATGAGTAGCCCATGAGCCCCAGCAAGAGTGTACACTGCACCTTTAGAGATGAGAGGGGTGACTCCACCAACCACAGAGATCTCTGCACACACCCACAGGCATGTGCACACCCTTCTTCTCCCAGGACCACTGCAGGGCCACCACTCAAAAGGCAGGCTCAGGTTGACACCACAGAAGGTAAAAAGTTACTATTTAGAGGTTAATATCTGTAGCCACTAGGATTGGTGATTCAATGTTTTGAATACCCCAGGGGTTTGTTCCTTCCTTTAAAATCTCCCCCAAAACTGTACAGAACGTAACAGATACATATCATGCATGTAACAGGCAAAACTGGGGAAATCTAAGTAAGATCAATGAATTGTCCATATGGCATTTACGCTATGGTACTCTGGTTTTGCAAATTGTCTCCATGGAGAAATCATGGCAAGATATCCACGGAGTCCTTCTAGACCATTTCTTACAACTGCATGTGAACCTATGATGACCCCAACAAAAATTTCAAAGAGGCATTTCTCCTCCATATTCTAACTGGCAGAGTTGCCAACCTGGCACCACCAACAAGAGACCGGGAAACCCCAGAGGTGGGCTCATTACTCTCCCTGGAGCACTCTGCTGCTCCTGTCTCCCACCCTCATCCTGCCTGTGACTAGAGATGCTCCATCTTGGAAGGTCAGCTTTGCTACCCTGGGACTTAGATGGGGCTCCATTGCCTGACCTTTAGACACCAGCAGTCAGGGGGGCACTTGGCAGCTCCCCGATCCTCACCAGTGGTCACTGAACGGTCTTTTCTACTTCCTGTGATGACGAATCCACATCTCTCTCTCCTCACTGGATAAGCCCCTAGTCGACTCCATCCAACATGGACCAATGTTGGGCCCTCTAAACTGGCTTTCCAACCACTGGTCTTGTCCTTTGGTTCAGACCATCAGTCACAGCTGCCAAAGAAGCTATTCTAAAATCAGAGCTTCTTATACTGTTGTGTAAAACTCCTCAACTGCTGTGACCAAGCTCCTGCTCATGGTACACAGACCCTGAGGGTCTGCTTCTGGGAATTTATAGAACCCAATGTAAGCAGACGACTGAAGAAAGACTGGGCAGCCATCACAGCCCCTGCTGTCTGTCGGTCTCATGGCTTCTCATCTCTGATGTGCATGTCCCCTTGCCGCAGTCCGGCTGCAGCAGCTTGGTGCTGATAACGCCAAGGTCGCGGGTTTGTTCCCCGTAAGGGCCACCATCTGCCGCAGTCCGGCTGCAGCAAACTAACCGAGGGTTGACGAACAACTTGTGTACATTGATACAGCAGGAGTGGGAGCCGTTTATTGTAGGACAACAGAGGTATTTATACATTCCACACAGCTTATCCTAATTAACAAAGACTAGATACAACAGTCAACCAATAAGGAATCTCCACACTTAATGGCTCGCTGGCGTTACTTCATAAACCACTCCCTCTGGCAAAATGCCAGGCGCCATCCAGACTTGTTTACAGACTCTAACATCCCCTGCTTTGCACCTGGGTTCTGCAGTTCTCTAAAATGCAGACAGGCAGGTCCTGGATGGCCTTGCCTCTCACAATTTTACAGGCTTTTTCAGCTCCAAGTGCTCACAACATCATCCTCTGGTTTTTCTGCCTTTGACCAGATTCTTGAAACAGAGAGTTTGGATCAGTTTAAGTCAGATCCATCCAGCTCAGCTGTGGTGGTGAACAGAACCACAACTGCTTTGTTCTCAGTCTTTCATCAAGGACTTGGTAAGAGAGGGAGATGCTTCCAAAGAAAGGGAAGGAGCTATGCAGGTCCATTGACGCGTCTACTACAGCCCCTGCCTGGTGTTTCAGACCTATTTCCTGCCACTYAGCCCCTCATCCTTCATCCTAAACCTCTAACCCGTTCCCTAGCCCCATGGCACCATGACCCATCATTCATACCTATGTATGTGCCAAGGGCCTTTCCACGTCATCCTCTCCTGCATCCTCCTTATCAGGCACACACTTCTACCAGCACCATCTACGAAAGTCATTTTGTATCTCTATGAAAAGGTCCTTGACTTCCAAGGCCAACTTAAACATTGTTCCTCCATGTTCCTGCTGTCTGGGTACATAGTCCTTTATACCCAGTATCACTCCTAATACCATTGTCTTTCTTCATGTCTGTGTCTTGCCTAGAATGTGAGTACCTGAGAGAGGCGGGGATTGGGTCTTTTCATCTTGGCTCCCGGGCTCAATGTGGCTCCTGGCAAAAAAACAAAAACTGTCCCCCAGATGTTGAGTGGAATTTGTTGAGTGGAATGATGAAGCCCTTATCTGTTCTCAGAGACTGGGAGACCCAACGCACATGGCACTGGTGCTACAGGGCCAACACATAACTGTTTCGCTCACCTATACCCTTTGCTTCTTTCCCAGACGGGGTTGACCGGACCTCCACAATCTAGAAGCTGAAGATGAGAGTGACCGCGCTGGCCGTGAAATCGACTGCTGCGGGTCCAGTGTCAGCCATCTTCATGGTTGCATAGAATCCTCCAAGATACTTTGCAGCCCATTTCCCCTGGTCCCTCGCCCATTTTGATTTTGTGAGAGCGTAGGTCATCCTTGTAAACATATCAGTAGACCTGGGATTGGTTATGTTGTCATTTGTTTCTGTCATGGGATGGTTTGGTGTGCCCGGTGAGAGGAGTCTCTAGGGAAATGTGGTGGGACTAGGGGCGGGGGTGGGGGAGGGATGTGAATGGCTTCCTGGATGGAAGGGGTGGGGATGGCTGCTGTGAAAAGGAGATGAGAGACACAAGAGGGAGGCAGAAGCCCTCACCTGGGGAGCCCTCTTAGAGAGCCTGGCTTCCCAGTCAGGCCACAGAAGGAGATGGTGGACCCATGCGACCAAAGCAAGATGGTGGCTCGCCTGTTTCTGTTTCCCCTGATTGGGTTCCCTGAGGCCCCACTTGAAACAGCCACAGGAGAAAGTCAAAGGGCAACAGGGGCAAGAAGGAAGAAATTCCCTCCAGCAAAATTTCAGATAAACTTTGATTTGTGTATTGTTTACATAAGAATTTTAAAGGGTACATAATGTGTAAAGAGTTTGGGTAGAACTTCTCTTCATACTATGGTTTTTGTAAAAGGATTTATTGTTGTTTATGGATTCATTTTTTTTTCTTCTATTTTTATAATAGCAGCAGGGTTGTCTTTTGAAATGGCTGCCGAGCTCTGCTTCTTGGGAAGATGGATATAGTCACGTAGGCCTGAGTTGCTATCTTTCACCATTAAGTGGGAGGAGCCTGTGGGTGGATTTGAAGGATGAGGATGTGGCCAGAATGTACACAGCACTAGGAAAGGACACAAGGACGATGGCAGCATGTGATCAGTTACAGATTTGCTCACAGGTCACCCAGAGATTGTAAACAAACCTTGCGGCCTCTTTCTGGGCTGGATTTGCTTCTCATCTAAAGACCTTGCTTCCTTCCCACCCTCCCCCTGGGCTTCATCTTAGCACTGCTGACCTGGCTCCACAGACACCCAGGTGGGTCCCAGTTCCATGGTGGAGGGTGATGCTTTTCCCTTACGAGAGGTCTAATATCCAGAAAATGAGATCAAAACATGTGCATGGGGTTTCCTAGAGGAACCTGAGCCGTAGGGGCTCAGTCAAGTCCCTGCTGAGGAAGAAGAGAGAAAGGCCCAGCAACAGTGCATGAAGGGTCAGTTGGCAAGTGTCAGAGAGAGCAAGCAGGAGGCACTGGGCTCACGCAGTCCAGCCCCACCCTCCCAGGTGGCAGTAAAAGCAGAAGTGGGAAGGAAGGTTCTATCCACACAGTGAGCCAGATGTGCTGTATAGTTAGCTGATTTATCCATCTACACAGAAGGGAGGGGGGAAAAACGCTCATTGCATGGTGAGAGATTAACAAACTATGGTACCACAAAGTAATAGCTCTATTTCTTAAGGGCAAGAAAGAGTGTGTTTTGGAATTTGATGCCGTGGAAGGTATTAGTGGAAATCAAAAGGGAATTGTGCTCTGCACTGGAAAATTGGGTTGTGTAGATGACGGTATAAATGCTCAGCCAGAGGCAAGATTGGGGAGAAGGGTGTAAGGCCTGTTTATTAAGTGAGTGAGAATGATGCCTCTTTTTTTTTTTTAAGTGAAGTCAGAGTCACAATTAATTAGATCAGATCATGAAAATTATTGCACTCACTTATGGTTATTTTTTTAAGTAAATGAATTACACAGATTTAAAAGGGCTTAATAAAATCCAAACAACTTTCTTTTACCATCAAGATTAAAATGTACACCCAGCCCAGCCAGGATGCTGTGGTCAGGTTTTTGAAACCTCTTTGCCATGCAAAAGGCTTCGAGTACCTTAACCAGAGCCTTTAGTGAGCCCAGAAAGCTTGAATCCATAATTTCATGCTGTGCATTTAAAAGAGAGAGAAAGGGGGGGGGGAAAGAGAAAGAGAGGGAAAGAGAGAGAGAGAAGAAAAACATTTAGACCTCTCCTTGGGGTGACTAAATTCTAAAGATGCAAATCCATGTGCAGAAAGAAGCAGCATTTTTTTTTCTTTTTTTTTTTTTAACCAAGTGCCATTAACATTCATCCCTCACATCCCGTTTCTAAACAAGCATAATGTTGGGGAATGTGCTGGGATGGACGATCACATGTAAGGCAGGAAGAATATGTCAAAATGATGAAGGCCAAAGGTAAGGCCAAGAGAGGGTTTGAGGATGTGTTTGGGGGATGCTGATGAGAAAGTTAATACAGAGGAGAGAAAACAAGGGTATTACATGTCTTGTAGAGAAAGGAGAAGGCGTTCGGATCTGCTGCAAAACACACGTATCCATAAAGACTCGTGTTATCAGAAAACAGATTGTGAACACAATCACATTAGCACGAATCCTTTAAAAGGAAGAAGACCTTAAAAGTATTTGCAAATCTGAATTTCTATTTATTCCTTCACTGAATATAGAAACAATGGTTATCTGATTATTAGAGATATTATTTTGGATATGTTACTTATTAACTTGCTATGGCTGGTAACCATGATAAAGTCTGTTATTAATAACAACATAATTCTTTTTTTAAGAAAAGAAAAGCTTATTTTTCATTGACTGTGTATAGATTTACTTAGTTGTGTTTTGCTATATTAGTGTTTTGTTTTGTTTTTTTAAGTTGAGTGTTCTGATGAATTTTAGGAGCCTGTCCCCATCTTGTTTTGAGTCCTGTGTTGACTGCAGGTATACAGCTCAATTTAAAAATCCTAAAGCAAAAGAATTTTATTTATAAAAGAAACAGTTGCATGCATAAGGCTGTGAAGTCGGATATTTAGTAATAAAGCGGCAGTGCCTTTTTTTGTATTTACCCATTGATCCCCAAATGCAACTGTTTTATATTAAGTAAATAGAAAACGATTTTAAAAAAGAATCTCAAGAGTAAAATCTATTTCACTACGTGGGTTCCCCCCTCCCCCTTGTTCTGAGTTAAGCAGTGTGTCAACTTGGCATCTCGACACTGTCCCAGGGACAGTGGTGTTCTACAATATTGTTATCATGTATGATGTTTTATTGGTGCTTTTTATTCATAGAGGTTTCTTACCAGAAACAGTAGGAAGAAACACATGAACTGTGTCCACGACATGAAACATTGCTGCTGATATGTTTTTTCACATGCTTTTGTTGAAGTTTCACTTTTTAAACGAGAGCCAGCCAGCAAAATAGATGCGCTGGGTCTGCCCGCTGGGGACAGCTGTTGTGTACCAAGCTCTCAAATCCTGGGTATGGAGGGTTCCTTTCTGATTCTCAGGATTGGAGCTGCAGCTGCCACCCCCCTACCCCCTAGCCCCCACCCCTGCCACTCCCATTCATTCTGAAGAGACACTGAGGGAAACTGAGATTTTCTTTTGAGGTGTCACTGGCTGCCTTTTACAGAATGGGAGCCTCCTCCGGGTCTTTTGTCCTTCTGAACCTCTTGTAGCAACTGCCAGTGCAAGGTTTGTAGATGTGTATCCCCAGAGCCCGGGCTGAGCGCTGAGCTGGGCCCCATGCATGGGCCTGCAACCCAGGAGGGCAGCGTGGGGAGGCAAAGCAGGCCCCATGCGGTGCCCCTCTGGAGATGACCTTGACAGTCCCCTGCAGCCTGGGTGCGGGTAAGCAGCCTAACCAAGGCACTCGGGTGTGCCTGTTACAAGCAGAACCTACAGAAGGATCATTTGCACATGGAGCTGTGATAACACTAATGTTGTTTCTTTTTCTTTCTTTTTTACAAGTCATCAGAGATGTTTGCAAAGTGAGTTTTATTTTTTTGTAATTCCTTTATCTTTACTTAAAGGTGAATGTGTATTCCTCTGGGAGGAATAGGAAGAAAACAGGAATGTTCATAATGTCAAACAGAAACTTCCTCCCTTATTAATATATAACCCTCATGTATTTATGCCTAATGTAAACTGACTTTTAAAAAGCTCTCTTCTGTTGCATGCCCATGAAGGCATCCGTATTGTACATGCATGCCTTGCGTCCTGTTTTCCTGTATAAAGTTAGTGAACAAAGAAATATTTTTGCCTAGCTCATGTTGCCAAGCAATGCATATTTTTTAAATTTTGTCATATATGGAAAGAGCATGTTTGTTACATGTAAAAGCTTTACTGATATACAGATATACTAATGTTTGAACATGCTTTCTTTGCAAGTGTACAGTTTTCAAATGTTGTTACCAGTGAAACACCCTTGTGGTTTAAACTTGCTACAATATATTTATTACTCATTTCCTCCCATGTAACTAAGAATCATGGCTATATTTCATATCAACGTTATATTGAAAGTGAAGGGAAATGATTAATACAAGGTTTTGTAACACTGGTGTGTGTGTATTTTCTTTTTGTCAACATGATCGATTAGAAAACAAGAACTGAGTCTTAGAAATAATCCAGCAAGGAAGAGCAAGTATGACATCCCCATTAACTATTCTCACCTGCCCAGGCTGCACAACTACATCTTCAACCACGAGCTACTTTCTTAACAAACAGGTGGGGGACGGGGGGACAGAAATGTATACAGTTTGATCTTTGCCCAGAGTAGCCAGTGAAAGTGTTGCCCAAATTAGGGACATGTTTCTAAATACAGACTCTAACCTTGAAGAGAGTACTGCTGATACCTTCCTCTCGTCGTCGTCACTGCTTTTGAAATATTTCACACCTTAATCATGGCATAAGGAAACCAGCCTCCTTTGAGTCTTGGGATTTTGCCCACACACAGCAAAACATGAAACTTCTGATTCCAGTATGATATATAATAATATATTAATATAAGTTCTAAATATGTCAGTAAAGCATACGGCGGGAGAGAGAGACTTGGATTTGAATTCTGGCTTGAGCGTTCTCTAGCTGTGTCACCTTAGACCAGTCACTTAACCTCTCTCTGAACCTCAAAAGTCTTTGTTTTGTTTTAGCCTATGGCATTCAAGGTTTACAAGTGTAATTAGACCCCTAATCCAAAAAGAAGTAAAAACAAAACATAGGAGATAAAGGTCACGGCCACCGTCACCCAGCAACCCGAGAGTTTCTCCAAGGCAGCCACAACTTGACAAGGTAGTGATAACCACATAAGCGACTCCCTTTTTTGCCTGCCTTACTCTAAAGACAGGCAGAATCTAAATGGGTCCCTGGGAACAGAGCGGAATGCCTCGTCAACTAAGAGGTAAAATGAAATTCCTCCTGAAGGTGAATTCTTGTAACMCAAATGAGCTACACGTGGGGGAGGGGAGAAGGTGCAAGTGGAGTTGGAGCCCACTTTGGAAGGTGTGAAATCACAGTGGTTAGAGCTTCGGGGGAGAGGGAAGAGGAAGGGAGGGAATCAGCACTGACTAGTGAGGGGTTTTTAATCAGCAAAGCTGCAGCTCAGCCAGTGACCTCTGTAAAGGAAAGGCTAATCCTGAAGAAAACGTGACCTTTACAATAAAGCTTGCAGGACCTCCGCACATGCAGCCCCCAAAAGAGACTTGATCCCACTTACTAAAGGGGATGGTAAGCACCTATGGCACCGTGGCTTGGAAGGAGCTGCAGGGGTGAGCCAGGAGTCTAGAAGGGCCAAGGGTGAGGCTGACCAGTTCACGCTCTGCACACCGGCAGGGAGGAGCGGGGACAGTGCTGGGAAGCCACCTCTCAAACCAAGGACCTTGGTTTGTTCCACTGAACAATCACCCTACCACTGGCCCTGGCTCCTGATCAGCCCAAGACTCGTCCCTGGAGGGGARGGCTGGCAATTGGCACATTTACCAACCAAAGCCTCCTCCATAACCAGAGGCAGATTCTCGAGAATGTGGGGGCTTCAGGGTGGATCCCACTCACCCAGAAGCACAGCTTGGCAGCCCACACTTGGCCGTCTCCCCCTTCCTAGTGTCTCATGCTGGCATGTCACACCCAGGCAAGGATGTCACAGCAGTGGTCCCACAACCACCTACAGGTGTTTCCATTTTCTATTTTGCATCTACACAACTCAGCACTTGAAAACCAGCCCTTCCCTGGGGGCCTCAGCCTCTGGATCCCCAGCATTAGCTCTGGGTTCTCCGAGCTCTGCGCTTCCCCGACTATCTGTGAGGTCCCCTTGTGGTGCAGCTTGCTTCTGTCCCCACAGCACAACTCCTCTGCAATATGGAATAAGAAAACGCGAAACTCCTCTTCAGTGTTTTATTAGGTCTAATACACAAAACCCCTCTGTCGGACACCTACGAAGTAGCCCTGTCCTGCCTCCCCAAGCTCAGGGGTCAGCCTGCAGACCCCAGATGTGAGACTGCTGATGTCAACATCACCCCACTCAGGCCAACCCCAGCCTCCGTGCCATAGAGACGTGATCCTCAGGTTAAAGGATGCCTAGAAGGTGGTCCGAGATTGGTGAGTGACTTGGTCACTCTTCATTTCTAAGAGGAGTAAAGAAAAAGGGAAGGGGAGGTGGAGAGGAAGACGGTCCAGCAGGTAAAGGCACTGGTTCCAGGGGGCAGAGCCTGAACTGGAAGTCTTTAGAAATGGGTCTCTGGTTAGAGCATCATTTCCAAAGCAACCCTGAGACTGTGGTCCTCCCTCACCCACTCTCCATTTCTGGATGAAGAGTGGAGGGCGGATAAACATACGTTGGAGAAAAGATAGACTCTTCCACAAATGGTTCTGGAAAAACTGGAAATCCATATGTAACAAAATGAAATTAGACCCCTATCTCTCACACTGCACAAAACTCAAAGTGGATCAAGGACCTAGGCATTAGGCCAGAGACTCTGCACCTACAAGAGGAAAAAGTAGGCCCCATTCTCCATCATGGCAGCTTAGGAACCAAATTCCTCAGCAAAACTCCTAAAGTGCAAGAAGTAAAATCAAGAATCAATGCATGGGATGGAATCAAACTAAAAAGTTTCTTCATAGCAAAGAAAACAATCAAGAACATGAAGAGAGAGCCTACAGAATGGGAGAAAATCTTTGCCACCTGCACCTCAGATAGAGCATTAATCTCTAGGATATATAAAGAACTCAAAAAAACTTAATACCAAAAAGAAAACACAATCAATAAATGCACAAAGGAACTGAACAGACGTTTCACAGAAGAAATATGACCAGTCAACAAATACAGRAAAAAAATACTCATCATCTCTAGCAATCAGAGAAACGCAAATTAAAACTACACTGAGATTTCATCTCTCTTCAGTCAGAATGGTAATTATCAAAAATACAACAATATTTAAAAGTAAACAATGAATGTTGTTTAAATAAAAGTAACAAAAAATGTTAGCGAGTATGTGGGGGAAGAGGCACACTCATACATTGCTGATGGGACTGCAAATTGGTGCAACCACTGTGAAAAGCAGTATGGAGATTCCTTGGAAAATCTGGAATGGAACCAACATTTGACCCAGTTATCCCTCTCCTCAGCATATACCCAAAGGATTTAAAATCAGCATTCCATAGTGATGCAGCCACATCAATGTTTATAGTAGCTCAATTCACAATAACTAAGCTATGGAACCAACTTAGGTGCCCTTCAATAGATGAATGGATAAAGAAAATATGGTATATGTACACACAATGGAATATCACTCAGCCACAAAAAAGAATGAAATCATGGCATTTTCAGGTAAATGGATGGAACTGGAGAATATCATGCTAACTGAAATAAGCCAATCCTCAAATCCAAAAGCCAGATATTCTCTCTGCTATATGGATGCTGACTCACAATAGGCTGGGGTTGGGGGGTGGGGGTGGGGATTCACCAGATTGGATAGAGGGAATGAAGGGAAAAGAGTGGGGATGGGAATGGGAGAGACAGTGGAATTAATCCAGACATAACTTTCTTAGTTCATATATGAGTCCACAACCAGTGTAACTCCACATCATGTACAACCAAATAAATGGGGAGTAATTCTCCCTGTATGTATAATATGTCAAGATACATTCTACTGTCATGTATAACTAAAAAGAACAAATTTTAAAAATTAAATGCAAAAAAAAAAAAAAAAGAAAAAGGAAGGCAGCTCCTCTGTGGATGTGTCTGTTTCTGTCCGTCCAACCCTTTGGGACCCAGGTATGTGAAGTGGGAAATGTGGCTGTCGGGGAATTGAGAAGCTTTGGCAAAACTTGAACATGACACCTGGGCTGTGGTGGAGGAGCCCCTCTGGAGCMAATGCAGGTTCACAGCGTCCTACCGCCGGGATTCCACCCCGCCTGTGGTTCCCTCCTGCCAGCCTCCTTCATGGGGCTCTTGTCCCCAGACTTTGACTTCTCTGTGATTTCAACCTGAGAATTTCCTCTGTGGAATGTTTTCCACTCTTCAGTGGTTTCTACTTCAATTTTTAAAACCAGTGGAGAAACATTTGGCAACCTTACAAAGCTTGTACTTCATATAAAAAAAACAGACCTTTGTGTTTACGTTTGACTCAGAGTACATGCTTTTAAACAGCCTGTTGCCGAGTTTTCTGAGGTTCTGTTTCAGTCCAATCCAGAARAAACAAAATCCAAGCCTTGGGGAGTGAATTGCTCCCACCAGGGCTGTTGGAACTTGAGACAGCTAGTTAACTCTCCTGTGGGAACCACAGCCACACCGAGTGTCCCTGTGTTGGCTCCAATGTCCTGGGRAGATATTTCCAGTATTTTGGTGCCATAAAACTCTTTACAGTTTCAATTAAGTAAGGTCAGATGAATCTACAAACCCCCCAATCAAATCTCTCCAGCTGGATCTCACCACTTTGCTTTCGGGTTCGTTTATCCCCCGATCGGATCGACATTCATTTCCTGTACCTGAGCCTCTTTTATCATTGGCCTGGGACTCTGTTATTCATCTCAGATGGAATATGTACAAAGACAGCAGCACACTGTGTATGAGAAAATAAAATGCACACAGGACAAGCAAATCATCGGGGTGTGACCCAGTCTTGCAGCTTTGGGGGCCACAGGATGCCCTGCATCATCCCTCCCCCAATCCTAAGCAGTACAACATGAATTGAGTGATTATCTATTATGCTGGGAAAAGGAAGGAAGTCCCCAAGTCCTTGCATAGGAGCCCAAGGCTAATCCCTCCACAGAGAGGCCTAAAGGTGGGCAGAATCCCTTGGTACCTGGCCACAGGCCAAGGACTGTGACAAAGCATCTGGGCCCACCTAGGTCCCTAAGATTTCTGGAACAGAATTCCCTTTAAAAAAAAWTTTAAATTCTTTTTTWAAAAATTATTTATGTATTCTAATTTGTTATACATGATAGCAGAATGCATTTCAATTCATAGTTCACATGTAGAGCACAATTTTTCATGTCTCTGGTTGTACACAAAATACAGTCAGACTGTGTCTTCGTACATGTACTTAGGGTAAGGATGTCCATCCC